AACGCGTAATCCTTGCGATGATTTACAAGATTCCTACTAATCTTTGGGTTCACTAGTTAATAATATTGGTTGTCGTGGTAGCTTGCGTGGAACCACATAATTCACAGTATTGGTGTTCGCAGAAAAACAGGAAGGGCATTGAGTTCCCTAGGGTGCAAGACCCCAAAGTTTTTATCTGGAGGCGGTTCATGCGTGGACCAAAAAATTGACGGATTGATATGATCGATATATGCTGAAATTTATTTATTTATTTAATTCATTATTTTGTCATATTCCTACATTTACATGTTGTTTAATTATATTATATATTTGTTTTAAAACTTTAATAGTCATTGATAAACGTTATCCTACTGGACTGATGAACTCATCCCTATCTAACATTTTTCAGAAATATGAAGTCAGACAGGAGAATAAGCTGAAAAGACGGTGGATAGAGACTACTATTATTATTTCTCTTTATGTTATATCTAGAATATTCTAACTGATCGAGTGAGGATTATGTAATCGTACGCTAAATATAATAATACAAGAAAGGTTAATGTAAGTTATATGTGGTTTTATTTCTTAATCACATCCGAGTATTTTTTTAAAAGAAAAAAAAATTCAGGACGTGATAAGAAAAGAGGGAGATATATCTAAAAGTAGAGTAAATATTAAATGCAACTGTAATACCATATCAGTAATACTGACGTGGTATCATTAACCAATAATAAAACACTAAGTGGATAAGGTGAACTCTATTTGAGTAATTATTTGCTTATATAGAAGAATGGTGGGTAGTTATTTGCTTACATGATTGATTAGTTATTAATTTTTTAAGGGTTCATTTACTTATTTGTTTTCATACTATTGATTGATAATATCATATCAACATTGTCGCATGATATCATCATTGTAATGAATATTTTTTCCTGAAAGTGAGTGGCTTCACTCCACTAGAGATACAAGTGTGAGGAGTGGAAGTCGAGACATCAAGGAAGGGAAGGAAGATTAGGAGGTTATGGGTTCAATGATGAGATGGGAAAAATATAAGAAAGGGTAATTTTATCATTTTAGCTACTTAATGATCACTTATTTTCCACGTGACTAAAATCCGTTACTTTTGATGTCTGAAAACTAACAGAAATAGTTAATTGAAAAATGCAATTAAAAGGGGTAAATTGTTAAAATTAAAACCTCATAGAGCTAATTGTAACAATACCCAAAGTTAAAAGGGGTATTTGTAATTAATCTATATTATATAATGAGATCAAGAAACTTGAGGTAGTTAAAATATTATGTTGTTATGGTTTGTTGACTTAAGAAATAAAAAATTATGAAGGGTACCTGTATGAATCTACCATACTTATTTATTTTTTAAGTTATACTCCGCACTTAAAAGGTGTTAGAACTTGAGATTAGTATATTAGGTATGCAAAAAATAGTCATAAATTTATGATTTTATACATCTATTAATATACAGTTACTTAGGTATAGAGAGTGTTTTATAGTTTTATTCCAAAAAAACACATGTCACATGGGCAATGTATGATCAACAATACAAAAATATTAAAGGTGTAATAAAAAAAAATTAATTTTTAACCTATAAGATATATAAGGAAAACTCTGCCAGTGTTGTATTCAACACTGTCTGTCCCAAGTCAGGATAAATGAGGAGAGTTGTGTTAGGTAGTCATCAACCAATGTAAAATTTTGTCGAGTCCAAACAATGATATATGTGCTAATGTTAGGTCATTCTCCACAAGTGACGCATTGCGCCTACCTCGAGGTGTTTCGAAAAATCAATTACGAGTGTTGCGCCTACCTTGGGACATTTCGACAAATAAGTTAACGGCGCTCCACATTGGCGCCTGGGTGCAGTGATAAATGGGCAAAAGTCTTCGCGCCTTAGACGAACATGGGGGATAAGGAAGCTAGTCCACAACAATAGACTTAGATTAGCAACGTGGAACATAGGTACACTCACTGGCAAAACAAAGAAGTTAGTAGACACTATGAGCAGGAGAAAAATTAGTATAGCATGCTTTACAAGAAACTAAGTGGGTAGGTGAGAAGTTAAGAGAGATAGAAAATACAAGATTTAAGATTTACTATACAAGAAATGATAGATGAAAAAAATGGAGAAGGAATAATTGTAGATAAAGGCCAAAAAGATAACGTAGTAGCATATACAAGGAAAGGAGATAAGATTATATCTATCAAACTTGTAGTTGGAGAGAATATAATTAATATGATTAGCGCTTATGCACCTCAAGTAGGGTTAGAAGAACATATTAAAAAATAATTTTGGGAGCAAATGGATGAATTAGTTCAATATATACCTATAGTAGAAAAGATAATCATAAGTGGAGATTTCAATGGACAAGTAGGAAAATATATGACACAATATGAGAGGAGTTATAGCGGTTATGGATATGGTGATCGAAATGAAGTCGAAGAGAGTATTTTAGAGTTTACAATGGTATATGACCTTGTAGTGGCAAACACCTTGTTTAGAAAATGAGAAGAATATCTAATAACCTTTAAGAGTGGACTAAACAAATGCCAAATAGACTACTTCTTAAGTAGAAGAATGAACCAATAAGCATGTAGAGATTGTAAGGTTATCCCGGGCAAAAGCTTAGCATCTCAATATAGACTAACAATCCTAGATTTATATATTAAAGGGCAACATAGAGTAAAGAGAAGTATTAGAAAAACAAGAACGAGATGATAAAATATAAAAGATGAGAAACTGGTACTATTTAGTAGTAGAATGCTTAAAGAGACCTTATGAAACCTAGATGATGAGAGTAACGTTATGTGGAGTAGGATGATGGAAGACATTCGGAAAATTTTGATAGAGGTTGTTGGGAAGTCAAAGGATAGAGGGTTTATGGGAAAAGAAACTTGGTGGTGGAATGACGACATACAAGAGGTAGTTAAAGTAAAGAAAGAATCATTTAAGAGATGGAAAAATAATAGAAATAGAGAGAACTTTCAAAAATATAAATTAACTAACAAGGAGGTTAAAAAAATAGTTAGATACGCTAAGTCAAAAGTCTAAGGTGGGTTGTACAAAAAACTAGATAGTAAAAAGGGAAAAAAAAGACATCTACAAGCTAGCTAAAATTAGAGAAAGAAAAACAAGAGACTTTAACTAAGTTAAAGTGCATCAAGGGCAATGATTCAAATGTTTTAGTTAAAGATAACAAAATAAATGATCAGTGGAAGGACTATTTTAAGAAACTATTAAACAAAAATCCCTTAATAAACCTAGAAGAGATAGAAAATGGTAGGATCCATTAAACTTTCTTTCGTAGAATAAAGAATTCGGAGGTAGAGTTTGCATTAAAAAAAATGAAATTAGGCAAGACTTTAGGACCAGATGAGATTTCAATTGAGGTTTGGAAGTGCTTAGAGAATGAGGGGTGTTGTGATTAACGAAATTATTCAATAGAATTATTGCTATTAGGAAAATGACTGATGAATAGAGAAAGAGTATTTTAGTACCGATCTATAAAATAAAGAAGATATTCAAATTTGTAATAATTATAGAAGGATAAAATTGATGAGTCATATAATAAAATTATGGGAAAGAGTCATTGAACAGTGCCTAAGAGTTGCGACTACATTGTCGAAAAATCTGTTTTGAACAGTGCCTAAGAGTTGCGACTACAGTGTCGAAAAATCAGTTTGGGTTTATACCGGTTAGATCAACTATGGAAGCTATATATTTATTGAGGACACTCATAAAAAAGTATAGAGAGAAGAAGAAAAATCTTCATATGATATTTATAAATCTAGAAAATGCGTATGATAAAGTACTTAGAAATATAATATGGAGGGTGTTTTAGAGAAAAGAATGACAAGTAGGTGTATTGAGGTGATAAAAAGGATACGTATAACGAGGCTATAATTACAATTACATCTTCCGTAAGAGAAAGTAAAGAATTTTTAATCACAATGGGATTACACCAAAGATCGACCCTAAGTCTATACCTATTCGCCCTAATTATGGATGAACTCAGTAAGCATATTTAAGCTGATGTCTCACGATATATGCTATTTGTAGATGATATTGTATTGGTAGATAAAACTCGAAAGGGGATTAACAATAAGTTAACATTTTAGATAGAGACACTCGAATCGAAAGAGTTTAAAATAAGTATGAGTAAAACTAAATATATGTAATTCAATTTTAGTAATACGAGAAATAGATATAGTGAAAAAGTTAAGATTGAAAATTAAGAAATACCAACGAGTAAAAAATTTAGACATCTAAGATCGATCATTAAAAATGATGGAGAGATTGAAGATAATGTGACTCATAGAATCAACATCGATTGACTTAAGTGGAGGAAAACCTTTGACATATTATGTGATAGGAAAATACTAATAAAAGTGAAAGGTAAGTTTTATCGAATAGCTAAAAGAACGGCAATGTTGTATGAGACAGAAAATTAGACAATTAGGAAATAACATAATGACAAAATGAGTGTAACGGAAATTAGAATATTAAGGTGCATGTGCGGAAAAACTAAAAATGATAGAAAAAGAAATGACTGTATTAGAGAAATAATAGGAGTAGCTCTAATTAAGGATAAGCTAAGAGAAAATAGATTAAGATAATTTGGTCATATTTAACGAAGGTCGATAGAGGCACCGGTTCAAAAAAATGAGATAATCTCTCTTAATGATATTAGAAGTATGGATAAATTTAAATTAATATTGAACAAAATAATAAGAAAAGATATAAAAATATTTAACTTAAATGAGCGTATAGTGCATGATTGAAATGAATGGCAAAAACAGACTCATATAGCCGACCTTAAATAATTGGAACATAAGACTTAATTTGGTTTGATTTGATTTGTTTAAGAATTTATAAGGAGCAAAGAAGGACGAGGAGAAAAACATAAATAAGAAAATTATATGGGTTGCAAGTGAATAAGACCGCGAGTACATTATTATTTCCTACTTCCCAAAAACAATGTAGAAAGGGAATCAAATCAATATCAAACTTCTTCCCCAAGTTGCGGGTAGTGTCATCGTTAATATGTAATATATTGGCCCACTTTTAATCTAATATTTTCATTCCGACCCTCGTACATACACTGTGAAGGCAAAGTCGCGGCGAATTTGTGCAGTTGGGTACCAAAATCTCCATGGCAGTTCGGCAGGTTCAGCGGCGATTACTCTCTCTCTTCACCACTAAACAGCCTCACCCCTCTCTCCGAACCATTGGTTAGCTCTCTCTCTCTCTCTCTGTATACAAAGATTTTTGTGTTCATGTTTGTGCTTATGCATCAGTAGAAGCCCTAGTTATTACTCCAATAGTAACAGTGTTTTTTTTCTTTTACTTTTGATTTCTTTGATTGAGTGAAACACATGCTTTAATTTCGGCATCCTGTAGTTGATTGTAGCAAATTGTAAGTGTATAGCTGAATGATTTTTCATAAAAAATTGAAGCCTTTGTTCAGTTTTTGTCCTAAATAATAATTTTTGTAACTGTATCTAGTTTTGCTTACGATTTTGCTTTGACAAAGTTGCGGGCTTGGTTTTGAGCACGGTTTTGAGAAATTACGAAACATATGATTAAAATGAACATGGAATTCTTGTCAAACTTAGCAGGGGTCCATGCCCTCGAATTCCTTTGCCCCCCGTGCCCACCACGGAAGAAAAGAGAGAGAAATGAAAAGAACAGAAAAAAGAATTGGGTGTTGGTGGTGCTTGGTGAAGTAGTTTTTTTTTTTTTTTCCTACATGTGTTCAGTTTTGTGCGACTACTGGTCTATATCATATTCCAAAGGGACAAAGGTGGCTAGTGTGGGACCACCCCAAGGGTCTTGGTGAAGTAGTTTGAATCAACTTGTATATGAAGAAAGTTGCTCATTTGGGAAGTCCATTAGAAGAACATCCCACAGTAGGCTTTCTAAAAGTTTTGTTATGGGAATAGGGTAGTTTAAGTAAAAATATCAAAAAATATGTATGTGATTCGTAATATGTTGCTTGTGCCTGCATTACACTTTTCTTGTTGAATTCACAATTTTAATAAGAAATTACAGGGGAAATGCCAAATCTGAGTTTTCTGAAATGTATATACCACAAGATCTACATGCGCTAAAATAAATAAAAAGTTATAGAAATCTATTAGCAATTCTCAAATTGGACAATTTGTAGCATGCTACAATTTTGTTTGATATCTGTTCGAACAAGGGATATCTCATTCTTGCTCCTTTGTAATTTTTATATTTTTACTCAACATGATGAAACCTTATCCCAACTATTTGGAGTCGGCTAAATAAATCTTGTTCCTCAATTGTGATCTATGAAGGGTCATTTCTTTGTATATGTTTATTTATATGTGGTATAATTCCAGGTGCTTATCTCTATCAGAAAAAGAAAAGGAACTTGTGAATGTATTTCAAGACATTATGAGTAAATGTTCTTTCTTCCATTATCATGCTGTTCTTTTCCTCTTTTTTAGTATTATGGCCAAGAAAGACAGTGTTTACGAGTAATTAAATTCAAGCAAATCATTTGAGGAGTTAACATTAAAACAGAAAAAACTGAAGGATTACTAAAATGATGATGATTTGTGTTGTGATATTCATCGTTGAGACAATCACGTATTCACGTTAATGATTCCAAATGTGAGCTGAAAATTTTGCCACTATCTACAAAATTTTATGTGGAGAAATAAATATATAAGCCTTGAAGCATCTACTAATCATGCACTAACGAAAACCTTGTAGTCTTGTGGAAGGCCTTTTAGTGAAGGACTTCCCCTATCAATGTATATACCATGAAATTGCATAATTTTACATTTGGAATGTCTTCCTGAATTATGGTGGTTTCTCATTCAAATTACTTTTTCCAGTTGTGATTATTTTGTTGATAAATTGCTGTAGAACCCTCCTGGAAGTTACTTTCTTCGGCTACTTCGTATTTCAGTAGAGATGAATTGAGCAAAAGAGGACTTCAAACACTTTCAAAACCTACCGAGCAGGCTGTCGAAGAATTGGCAGTAGATGAAGCTTGCAGTTTGAAGTCTGATTCCAACTCACCTGAAGTTGTGCCCATCCCAATCAGCAAGGAAAACTCTGCTGTAAACTTCAGTGCCACATCCTACTTAAAAGTATCCCCACGACATGATCTTGCCATGATTTTCACTTGCAAGGTCTGTGAAACCAGATCCATAAAGACTGCTTGCCGTGAATCATATGAAAAAGGTGTAGTGGTGGCTCGATGTGATGGGTGTAATAATCTACACCTGATTGCTGATCGCCTGGGGTGGTTTGGAGAACCAGGGAGCATCGAGGAGCTCCTGGCTGCTCGTGGGGAGGAAGTGAAAAAAGGTTCTGTTGATACTTTAAACCTTACGCTTGAAGATTTGGCTGGAAAGAAGAATCTTGAAATTTGAAAAGAACAGAATTTAGGAGAGTTCAGGAATTTGGCATGAAGCTTTATTGTTCTGAATTGGAGAAATTAGTCGTATGATAAAACTCTGTTCGGAGAATTGTTTTGTACAAAATTTGTGCATGTCAAGGAGGCCTAGCTCAATGAAAACAGTTGATTGAGGTTTTCAAGTTTGTGTCTTGACAATGTTGGTGGAGATGTCAAGGAGGCAATCATGCAACTTTCTCCATATTTATGTCATTCCCTGTTCAGTTGAAGCAGCATTGATGATTTCTCAGCTAAAGTTTCTGTTGAATATGCACTTTCGGCTATTTGCTTTGAGCCTGTTTGCTGCGATTTTTCGGAAGCTATAAATAATTTTCTAAAAACAGTATCTGAAAAGGAAAATTACACAAATTTTTAAAAAAATTCAATATTTATTTAAGCTATTTTAATTGAAAACAAACCATAAGAAGCATGTCAACATAGTTTAGTTTCTTTAACACTATAATCTATAAATTGCTCTAAATAAGTTTAGGGAAAATCCAAGTTTGTCTTCTGAAAGATACAAATTTTTTCGCTTTGTTCCCCGAATGATTAATTTTCTCATATTATCTCCTGAAAGACATTAAAAAGTTATAACGTAGTCGATCATCATTTTTCCGTTTGTCGTTTAATTGATTTTGTTATAACATATACAACCCCTCTTGATATCACGTGCAAATCACGTGATAACAAAACCAAACAGACGACAAACGAAAAAATAACGATCGATTACATTGCAACCTTTTAATGTTTTTCAAGGGCAATATAAAAAAATTAATCATTCAGGGGACAAAGTGAAAAAAATTGTATCTTTTAGGGGGTAAATGGGGATTTTCCCATAAGTTTAAGCAAACTTATTGTTGATTCTACTATTGAGTCTTGAGCCAAGCCAAATTATATTTTCTTATTTTTTGTTTATTAAAAAATAGTGCAACGTTGTAAAGCAATCGATTTGTACAAAACAACAATTTTTTATGCATTTTCCTTATTTGCACGAAAATAAGCAATTTCTTAATAAACCTTCCTAAGCAATTTCTTAACAGTGCCCAGAACTTCCTGTGTGACCCATATACACCTTCCTAGTTCCTATCTCGCACACGGCACAGAAACTCACCATCGACCGTACTCTGTAGTTGTGTTGCGACCAGAAACAGGTGAAAAATGGCGACAGCTTTTGCTACTTCCATGTCTTCACCTTCGATTCGCCGTCTCTTACCAACAAACTCGGTGGCAATGTTGGGTGTTCTTTCTCACTCACCCAAAACATATGTCCCTATTCGTCTCTTCAAAATCAACCCAGGCTTCAGCTCCAGCCGTCTCTCTCTATCCATTACAAAAAACCAACGAAGGAGACAATTTCAAGGTGAAATCTTGAATACCCATATTTGTTGACTTGTTATTTTTCATGGGTTTGTTTGATGAAGTCCCAAACTGTTCACAATTTTTATGTTTTTATGGGGTTCATGCCAAACTCTTGGCACTAATCCTTATTCCAGCGATTCAATGGAATCGATATACTCTTACTAAACGGGTCCTTTGCTTTCTGTTTTGTCTTCTATCCTCTTTTTTTGGGAAAATCAATTGATTAATTCTTAGGGGGTCACATATAAAGTTCGGTATTTCGAATAGTTACTTCTATATGGCTTCCTTTTTGTTTGGTTGAACTATTGAGTATGTTTATGACCTTTTAGTAGCATAGAGAAGGTATTGGAGGCATGTAAAAGGCTTGAAGACAAAGAGGTGCAAGGAACAACAAAGAAAATACAACAACCAATGCAAATAAACTAGAGTGAGTGAAGAGGGAATTTAAATGTTTTCATAAATTCAGTTGTGGGAAAGATTTAAGACTTTTTTCATTGAATAAGAAATTTTTTCTACTATGTCCTAATTCTTAAAAAAGACAAATTGTGTTCACTCAAATTTTATAGGACCAATAAGTTCATCATTTGTAGGAGTGGAACACTCTGCTAACAAGTTATAGTTCTTCCTTTTTTACTTGTTTGGCCTATAAATGTTTTCCATATTTCACTCCTTCAATTTATTTACCATCTACAGTTGTTATTTTCTTCTTTAAAATAGAAAAGTCCTTGACATTCAAATAGGCACTGGGGGCATTATCTTCAATTTATTTGATTAACATAACTATTTTATAGGAACTATTTCCTCTATTAGGTTCTTCTAATCATGGAAATCCTGTTAGTTTCATACACGGGAATTCATACAATTGAAGATATTTGAGTCATTAACAAATTATCAAATACAAATTTCAAAAGGTTGTTAAGTTTGACTTTTACAAAACAATGCTAGCCACTTGCCCTAAAAAGAGGAAATGAAGAAGGAAGAAAGAACAGTTGTGATTTTTACTATAATTATAGTACAAAAGTATTCTCAAATATTATCTGCAAAAGTTTTCTAATTCACTAAAATTATAGTTCTGATTTTTGATTGTAGAGTATTTCTTAAATCTTGATTTATATTTACATACGTAAAGGATTAAGAACAGATAAGGACAAAGGTGGTTGAAAAAATTTCTCTTGATGGTGTTTGAACTTTTTTGGAAGTATGACCCTCCTTAGACCTTGCAGTGACGGGATCGTCATACATTGGGCCGTCTTTTTTATTTCATTTGTGAATGTTAAAAGTGAAATCATCTTTGTTTTGTGGGGAAAATTGAATTTAGCAGTAATCCTCCATGCTATTTATTTTCTGGCAGTGAGATCGGTGGCTGCTCCTGCAGAAACCAGTGCTGGATTTGATGAAATGGTTTCTGGGACCCAGCGGAAATATTACATGCTGGGTGGGAAGGGGGGTGTTGGAAAGACGAGCTGTGCTGCAGCACTTGCTGTAAAATTTGCTAACAGTGGTCACCCCACGTTAGTGGTTTCAACTGACCCTGCACATTCTTTGAGTGACTCCTTTGCCCAGGTTCCAAAATTGTTATTTCTTTTTTTTTTTTTAACTGGTATCAGTCCATTTCAAATATTGATATTCTCAATGCTAGAACTAATGTAATCAATAGCAGTTTTCTCCCATGTTTCTTTTGTAGGATTTGACCGGAGGAACACTAGTACCAGTTGAAGGACCTGATTCTCCCCTGTTTGCCCTTGAGGTGTGTGGGGAAAGATGTCACAATTCTTTTCTAGCTTTAGGTTGATTGTTTTTCTACCTTAACTGAATAGAATAATGGGAAATAAAATCTACTTTTTTTTTAATGATGAATTTGTTTCCCTATGTCTTGATTGAGTTCCAATATGTGTGCTGTAACAGATAAATCCTGAGAAAGCTAGAGAAGAATTCCGCGACGCAAGTAAGAAGAGTGGGGGAACTGGAGTTAAAGACTTCATGGATGGCATGGGTCTTGGAATGCTTGTGGAACAGGTAAAGCTTTATATAGAGACACATACATGGTTAGTTGAGAGCATTTTCTGTTATGATGATACCAAGGAATTAAATTTTGCTTCAAAAAGGTTGAAACGTCCGAAATATTTCCATTTCCATAGAAATTGAAACGAATCATTACTTGAATACCAAAATTCCTATGTTTCGAGGTGTTTCGGTTGTTTCGACGAATGTTTCGGAAACAAATTTTCAATTTTTTTCTTTTTGTCTGAAATGTTTCTAAAATTTGTTTCCAAGCTCACCGAAACGAAAAATTTTGATCCTTGGATGATACTTCGCTTAGGAACGTGTGTCACATAAGGTGTCTAGATATAATGTTCAGTAAAATGGAGCAAAGGACAATAATTTGCAGAAAACTTAACAACATCATTGTTAAATCTTAAGATATGAATATGCTGCAGGGCCTCATAAGCGAATTCATTCTTCATCCCAAGGCTAAACTTCTAATTTGTTGTGTTGCATGCAAGTCATCATAAATACAGTCACACAATGCCGTGAGAGCAATTGAGGAAGATGTCTTCAAAAATTGAACCCCCATGACTACTCTGAACCAACTTCCTAAGAAACTTCCGAAAGTTGCCGAAGATATTCTAGATGTGAAAGAGGTTAAATCTCGACCGTATCAGAGTAAACAACAATGTCGAATCAGGCCGCCCCTTGCCTTGTTTCGTCATCCAATTTCTCTCGCTTGGAATCTGGTTCCACCGAAGGGCCTTCCTGATTCCTCACTTTTATGATGCTCAGCAAGAACAATACTTAAAAAAAGAGAGGACTCAGAATAATGACATCCATCATTTTGATCTGCTATTAATATTTTTGTCTTCTTTATTGCTCAATCTTTCAATGTCAATATATACGCATGCTTTACCCTTTTATGCATGACTTCCTGCTGTGTTCTCAATTTTGCTTGATGCAGTTAGGAGAGTTGAAGCTGGGTGAGCTGCTGGACACCCCTCCTCCTGGCTTGGATGAAGCTATTGCAATTTCCAAGGCATTTATAATCTTCCATGCTTTGATGATTTTGTTTACATGTAGTGGCCAGCTTGTATTAGGAAATTTCTTGCTTCTTTACTGACTTACATGACTTCCTCCCAGGTTATACAATTCCTTGAATCCGAAGAATATAAGATGTTTACCCGAATAGTGTTTGATACGGCCCCTACGGTGAGCAGAATGCAGCATTTTTCTGTCATTGCATTTGTAGGATCATTCCTTTCACTTGATGGGCTGTCCTTTTCAGGGTCATACACTGCGACTTCTATCATTGCCAGACTTCTTGGATGCATCAATAGGCAAGATACTGAAGGTAAGAAATCCAAACTCAGATTTGAGACAGCTTGCGGCTGAGATGATATGTGATTCGATGCATGGCTATTTTCTGGTCTAAAATACAGAAAACATTTTGATATCCCATAAAAGTAGTTAATCTTACCTAAGTGAAGATCATTTGACAAGGGATTCAGATTGCTGACTAAAATATGGAATGTGGGGGGTTTATAGCAGATCGAGCTGCTAGACTCTGAGTCCCTGATCAAGGCTGAAGCTTTTTGCTTTTTTCCTTCTGCCTTCTGAGAGTTTTGTTGGATATTGAGGCTCCAAAAGATGGTTGAGATCTGCTGTAAAATGATCCTTATACTTTTGTTCCAACCTTATGAATTGATATCTTCTCTTTCTTGATTCCCCCTGTGCTGAAGGTTTTGTAGCTGAAAAAGTCTGGTTATTATGGGTTCCATTGAGTTGCTTCTCATGCTGAGAACAGCTCTCTTCCTGTCAACTAGTTTCATTATTCAGATGAATAAATGTCTTGCTTTGTGCACAATTTTAGGTGTTTGTCCAAGTTCAAGCTTATTTCTCTGCATTTATCTGAGCCAACCTACAATTATTGTATATGATATAGGTCTACCTTCCAAGCCAACTGATAACTGTCTTTAGGCTTTCAACTGTTGATGTTTATGCAAACATATTTAGTGTCTATTACAGTTAGTGCTCTTTGGTAGCTTTATTGACTTTTTCACTATACCTTGCCTGTTACAGCTTAAGCAGAAGATCACTTCAGCTACTTCAGCCATCAAATCTGTCTTTGGCCAAGAAGAGACCCGACAGGATGCTGTAAGCCTGATGCCAGTGGGAGCTGGTATTATGTTCTGTATTAATACTCATACTGAATTTCCTTGTTTGCATTCTGTTGTAGGCTGACAAATTAGAGCGACTAAGGGAGAGGATGATAAAAGTGCGAGAGCTTTTTCGTGACACAGATTCAACAGAGTTTGTCATAGTAACAATCCCTACGGTACGAGCTTAAGTGCTTATAATGGGTTGCAGTTCCCAGTTGTATATCTTGATTCTGACTTGAGCCAGTGTGTGTTATCTTGTTCCATGAAGAATATCAAATTATTATTTCTATGGAAGAAAGCTCCACACAATGCATGCCATTTTTGCACTGGAGTGTCATGGAATAGTTGTTCTCGTGTTTGTTTTTTAAATTAGTCTACACAGTATTCAGTTGCAACTGAAGACATTCTTTGGAATCTAAAAACTGGTTCAAATTCATTATAGTAAAAAATTTAGTTACCAAGCAACAATGGCAAAATAGAGTTGTTACTTATAACTGCTCTACTAGGATTCATTTCATGATGATCTGACTTCCAGTCTAATTTTTTTTCTTAAGGTTATGGCTGTTAGTGAATCATCAAGGTTGCATGCCTCCTTAAAGAAGGAAAATGTTCCTGTCAAGAAGCTTATTGTTAATCAGGTTATTCCCTCATCTGCGTCGGACTGCAAGTTCTGTGCAGTGAGAAGGAAGGTATAATCTAGCGCACTGTCTTTATCCCAATTAATATGTTGTTCACTTAACTGTGAGAAATCTGACTATCATATATTTGATAAGTTGAACATCTTGGTTAGTAGAAGTTACTTTTATTCAATGTCCTGGAAACAAAATCACTAGGCTAGATTTGATTCAGAATGGTTGTGTTCACTTAAAGCATTATTATTGTCCAAGGCCACGAAAATGTGATTTGGATTTTAGTAAGCACGTATTTAATTAGTCTCACTCTTTATGAGCCCGACGTTATAGTATATGATTCGACAAAGAACATGGCAACATATGTTGGATTCATATAGTGAACCTTAAGTAGCTGGGACAAGGTTTTATTTAGGTTTCCTTTAGGTACCCACATGTTTATGCAAACTTGCTATTATTGTCGCTTTAGGCAAAGAGCGACAAATCTGTTAAATTAAGGTCATCAAATTCTTCTCCAATTTCTTTGAATTCTCTCGCCGCTACTTGGAGCTAAAATATAGGGCACTTTTACTTATTTTAATTTGATGATTATTTTAGGGTTAATAGCACTTTTTGTCCCTAAAGTATGAGTGTTTTGTTAGTTTGGTCTTCATTGTATTAATTTTATCAATTTGGTCATTAAAATATTCAGTTTGTCTTTCAATGGTCCTTACACACACGGTATGTTAAGTTTTTGACGGAAGTAATCACGTGATACTCTCTGAAAGAATGAAATGTGGTCACCTCCGTCAAAAAACTTAACGGACAGTCTAGTTAGGGATCATTTAAACACAAATTGAATATTTTATGAACCAAATTGATAAAATTCATACATTGAGGACTAAGCTAACAAAACGCATATACTTTAAAGACCAATAGTGCTATTAACCCTTATTTTTATCTTTTTAATTTGAGTTAAATTTGAATAAGGAACATGAGCACATGTCAAACAACACAAGTATACATTTTGCTGTGACACATCTGATTTTTTTTTAGTGATAATTGAATGGGCCCAATATTTGGTTATATCTACTTGACTATTCCAGGATCAGATGCGTGCTCTCAACATGATTCAGAGTGATCCAGAACTCTCCACTCTGACCTTGATCCAGGCACCCTTGGTTGATTTAGAGATCAGAGGTGTTCCGGCTCTTCAATTTTTAGGAGACATTGTTTGGAAATGAAAGATCTGCTCAACGGTATCAACCTAGGGTGATACTGTTATAACTTCACTATATTTTTTACCCTTTTTGTGTGTGTGGGTGGGGTGGGGTGGGGTTTGTTCCGTGGGGGGCCAGGGCAAAAGGGCTTTGAGACATCTCTGGCCTAGGGATACCCACGATGAAATTGATGGGTTATCTTAAAATTCATGATTGCTCAATGAAATAGGGCTGTTAGAGTCATACCAGAACTAGTCCGCCTTATGGACAATCTTTTTTGTCTCAATAATCCCAATATATTGCAGCTGCAGTCTTATGCTTTTTAAATGCTTCAAGTTTGATAAATTTGTACAAGTGGGTTTACATTTCTATAAATCGTATCAGCACAGGTTTTGAACGCCCTTTGCGATGAAGTGTCGCTGATATGCTGCCTATGTTCCTGATCTTGGTCTTTTCAGTGGTCTTGTTTAGCTCTAACCAACACTGATACAATGCAATCCTAGACTGACTGTCATGGTGATGCCAGATGTTACTCTTTACAGTGGTCTCTGCAGCTGAGGCATCCATAGTAGTTCTTTCCAAGCGATCAATCCTGTAGAAGATGAAATATATGTTTGACGTTGTTTCTTACAAGGGGCTGTATCTACTGTAGAGATGAAAGAGCCTCGTTTTCCTGTCATTTGTAGTAGTGAACAAGCAGAAGAAAAAAAAATAAAAAGAGAATATACGTTGATTGACAAAGTGGCTGGCTGAAATGTATCCCCTCAATCTGTTGTTTGAGTTTTATCATGACTTGTAATCGCTGAATTGTACATCCTGGAAATATTTGATCCAATACTGTTACGTTTTGAACTTTGGACCAACAATTGAGGACATTTTAGTATGTCACGGCAATGAAATGCCAGGAAAGCAATTTCATAAGCGTCACTTCTGATTGTGCCCGTGAGAACTCGGTTGAATTGGTTGGTCGAGTGGGTAATAACTAATAACTTGCATTTTTTTCGCTTCATACTTTAGTTTTGAGTCTTAATTACTATGATTGTTTAGTAGAGTTAAAATTACTCTTCAGCGTTTAGCGAGCGTGATAGAATTTTAACTTCGATTTTCATATAAATTTGGTGAGTTTTTTAATAGATATTTATGTGGGGGTGGTAGCTCTTCGACTATTGGATCAAAATCTATTTAGTCAAGTTAATTTTAAAAATTACTGAGTGAAACCATGTAGTAGGAAAATTTACCATTCATTTTACGACGTGAATGGTGCGTAATGACTCTGTTAGTTGCTTTGAACAGAGATAGATGGAGGGGTTTAGTCGACATATTTCAATAATTTAAAGATTGAATTGAAATAATTTGAAGTTTAGGAGTTTAATTGAAATTTGGGTCAAAATTTAAGGGGGCAAATATGCTTTTTAGCTGAAGACATATGGCACTATTCGTCAAACGAAGCCCTAACGTAAAAAATAGCCTCTCTCTCTCTCTCTCTAATATGAAGAAGAAGAAGCAGAACTCCATCACTGGCGCCGCCGCCACAACCGCCGACCTCAAATCCCTAATACACGACCATGCACTATTCTTTGACAAGCTCGTCGAACTCATTCCGGCCAAATTTTACCTCCCAAACGACGACGACGATTCCAAACCCTGGTTCCAAGGCCTCTCCAAAACCGCCAGGGCCTCCGCGAAGCAACAAACCAGAGAGAACATCAAGAAATCTCGCCGTGATCGCCTCGACCCCGAGAAATCGCAAAACTCAACCCTCGACATCCTCAAACATTCACTCGAAAACCAAACGATTGCCAAAAATCCAAACCCCAGTTCCGGTGACGATGAGGAGAACAATGAAGAAATAGAAGTCAAACCCATCACGAACAATGTTACGTATGAGGAATTAAGGCAAAAATTACACCGTAAAATCGAATTACTTCGAGGAAACCGTGGTGGTAGTGAGAAATCAAAAGGTGAGAAGAAAGAATATCAAGAGAATAAGCGGAAAAGAAATACGGAGTCTGAGGGAAAGGGTGAAATTGGGAATGGTGACAATGGTAGGGCTGGTAATTTGGGAAAAGGTAAAGAGGGAATTGGGAAATCTATGGCGGAGGCAACGAAGGGAATTGAATTCGGGAAAGTGAAGATTGGTGGTAACGAAGATGAATTTGGAAGGAAAAAGAAGAAGAAAAAAGTTTCGAAGGTGAAGGAATTGGAGAGGGCGAAGAGGTTGGAGGAGGTGAAGAAGCAAAATCCGGTGGTGGCGGAGAAGGAATCCTGGAGGGCAGCGACGAGTAGGGCAATGGGTGTCAAAGTGCACGATGATCCCAGGCTACTGAAGGAGAGTATGAAGAAGGAGAAGAAGAGACATGAGAAGAATGCGGAGAAGTGGAAGGAGAGGGTGGAGAGTAGGGAGAAGGTAAAGGGGGAGAAGCAGGCGAAGAGGGCGGAGAATATTTCAGACAGGATTCAGCAGAAGAAGATGAGGAAGATTGCTAAGAGAGAGAAGAAGCTTATGAGGCCAGGATTCGAAGGACGCAAGGAGGGTTACATTAATGAAGATTGAGGTGCTTNTCTCTCTCTCTCTCTCTAATATGAAGAAGAAGAAGCAGAACTCCATCACTGGCGCCGCCGCCACAACCGCCGACCTCAAATCCCTAATACACGACCATGCACTATTCTTTGACAAGCTCGTCGAACTCATTCCGGCCAAATTTTACCTCCCAAACGACGACGACGATTCCAAACCCTGGTTCCAAGGCCTCTCCAAAACCGCCAGGGCCTCCGCGAAGCAACAAACCAGAGAGAACATCAAGAAATCTCGCCGTGATCGCCTCGACCCCGAGAAATCGCAAAACTCAACCCTCGACATCCTCAAACATTCACTCGAAAACCAAACGATTGCCAAAAATCCAAACCCCAGTTCCGGTGACGATGAGGAGAACAATGAAGAAATAGAAGTCAAACCCATCACGAACAATGTTACGTATGAGGAATTAAGGCAAAAATTACACCGTAAAATCGAATTACTTCGAGGAAACCGTGGTGGTAGTGAGAAATCAAAAGGTGAGAAGAAAGAATATCAAGAGAATAAGCGGAAAAGAAATACGGAGTCTGAGGGAAAGGGTGAAATTGGGAATGGTGACAATGGTAGGGCTGGTAATTTGGGAAAAGGTAAAGAGGGAATTGGGAAATCTATGGCGGAGGCAACGAAGGGAATTGAATTCGGGAAAGTGAAGATTGGTGGTAACGAAGATGAATTTGGAAGGAAAAAGAAGAAGAAAAAAGTTTCGAAGGTGAAGGAATTGGAGAGGGCGAAGAGGTTGGAGGAGGTGAAGAAGCAAAATCCGGTGGTGGCGGAGAAGGAATCCTGGAGGGCAGCGACGAGTAGGGCAATGGGTGTCAAAGTGCACGATGATCCCAGGCTACTGAAGGAGAGTATGAAGAAGGAGAAGAAGAGACATGAGAAGAATGCGGAGAAGTGGAAGGAGAGGGTGGAGAGTAGGGAGAAGGTAAAGGGGGAGAAGCAGGCGAAGAGGGCGGAGAATATTTCAGACAGGATTCAGCAGAAGAAGATGAGGAAGATTGCTAAGAGAGAGAAGAAGCTTATGAGGCCAGGATTCGAAGGACGCAAGGAGGGTTACATTAATGAAGATTGAGGTGCTTTTAGTTAAATGTTTGATTAAAGTGGTTTTTGGTTTTGTGAAATTCAAACTTGAGGAACATTTGTCAGTTAAGAATTTTGCTCTGATATAAACTATGAAGTACTTAATTGGTTATTGTTGTTGAAAATTTGGCATATATTGATATTTTGCAAATGTTGAGCCCTATGTTGTCTAGGTTAGTTGATGTTTGTTTTGAAGCTAACCAATAGTGGCATCCTAGAACATTGCACCTTCCAGACTTGGGAGAACTCATGCAAGAAATTTCTAGAAAACTCATTATGGCTCATTAGATGTCCAAATTTAAAATTATTTTGTGTTTTGCTTCATGACCTACCGTAACTATACTGAGAAGACTGAGGGGTATGATAAGGGTTTAATCTAGTTTCATGTCATGCTTATTGGCACTGTTATTTGATATGGAGTCTATTTCTTCCTATGCTGATTCAAGAAGTTGGGCTTACATATTAATAGAGCAAACCTGTAAAGGTTCAGATTCTGTTGTTATAGCTTTCATAGTTTCTCGGCATTTTGTGTTGCTGTTATTCTTAGACTTGTAGAACACCATTTGATGGACTCTCCCTTTAATGACTGTTTTAAGTATGAATTGGCATAAAAAATGCCATAGTCTTGACATACAGAATATATTCAATAAGAATTCACTTGAATGTTGGTCTCCCCTCGAGTCAATTCATGTAATTACTTCAGTACTTGTGGCATGATTGTGATTTAATGAACTAGCAGTGCATTTGTTATTTCAACTATGCAATTGTAAGCACCTGCTAGCCCTTGCATTTGTGCTGTTCTTGCTAGTGGTATTAGTAACTTCTTTTGCTGTAGAGCAATGAAGTATGCTTATGTGTTTCTTGGGAGCAAAGTGAGTGTCAGGAGTCATGCCTATCATTTTCTGTGTTGTCGTCAACCACCTGTTGCCCCGCCTAATTAAATTTTTGAAAGATTCCTTTTCTATGAAACACATTTCGTGATCCCCCACTGGATATTTTTTGGGGTTTGTGGGGGGCTGTACTGGGGAAAGTACAATCCTGCACACATGCATGTGAAGGTATACTGCAGATCCACTGATGAGATGGCGCCCAACAGGAGATTATTCTGCAGTGTGGTTCCTGTTCTGCATCATCCTTTAGGGATCTCTTCCTTCTATGTCTTCATATCAGATTTAATTGTGGACGTGTTAGAAAAAATCATACACAATGCACATGACTCTCGCCTATAGTGGGGTTTGCTAGAGGTAAATGGTATTAGACTACCTCACCCTCTTTGTGTGCAGCAGGTTTTTATGTTGGTTAGAAGTCGGAAGAAGTTAGCATGAATATATGAGGGACACAACAACAAGAGGGTCCACAGTATTTTGTAGTGTGAAACATTAGTGGTCTTTCTCATGTTTGTGTGCTTTCATATGCAGTATTTTTTTTGCCGTGCATATTTAGTATTTTGTGTTCTTGTGTTATCAGTATACATCGTTGTTAATATGAAACTTCAGATATTTGGTTTGTAATGCAATGCCTGCATATTATTTTAAGACTCCTCGACTATTTGCACATCCACTTCAGCTTGTATATGAATGTAAATGTTAAAGCCATTAATCAACTCACAAGCTGTCATTTGGTGATTTTTTTTTTTCTTTTTGGTATTGTATCAAGTTTTGCAATTTTTAGAGGGCGTGACACATGAGAAGCAGTTTTTATATGATTCAGTGGATTAATGTCCTCCACTGTACTTATTTTTGTTTTAGTATTAAATCAGAAACACCCCTCCTATGACACTTAAAAAGTGGAACTTGCATTTCACTTTAATGAATGATTTCAGCTCAAGAACCGAATTTCTGGATGAGTACTACCAGTCAGAATGAATTTCAGGTTGAGAAATAATATTCTCACCTTTAATAATCTCGTAATTTTCTCTTAACTTGTTTGAGTTCTTGTTTTCATATTGTTGAGTTGAGCCGCATTGCTTCTTGGATTATGCTATTAGAGACACGTTTTCAAACTGTCGAGGGGGAAGGGGCTGTCAATTGGTACACGATCTGTGATATGGTGAAATAGCATGGAAATAAACAATTAAATTTCGTTTTGTCGTTTTAAAGAAGGGACACCGGTGGTGTTTTTCAGGGTTGAAGCTCTATGGTGGCAACAAAACAGGGGGTTTGCACTCATGGCAGGACTTGACCCATTAACTTATGGCAGGAGCTGTGACTGCGATCGGCGAAATGCAGAACAGAAATGGAGAACATAGAGAGAACCTTATGAATCAAAATTGTATTACACTCGGCTTCTGTTTGGTCATTGTGGAGGTTTGAAGGTCTTTGTGAGTAGTTCCAAGTTGCTATGGTCTCAATTTGTTTGCATTCTGATTTATGCACACATGGGGTTCGATTAGCGGGACAACGGTAGAAAATACAAAAAAGATAAATTTTTCAAAATTTTTATGTGCGTTGGTTAGTATGAAATGTAGACAATTAAAAAAAATTAATTTTCATGTGTTTAGTTAGTATGAATTATAAACCATTAAAATATTAATTTTTAATTATAATACATTTTTTTTCTTCAAACTGAGTTAAAATAATTAAGAATAATTTAAACAATTAAAAAAAATTCTTATCACTTTTTTTTTCTTTCAAACAAAAAAATAAAATTGATAAAAACTTTTTTGGAAATTTTTCATATTTTTTTCACTTTTTATCACTTTCACTTTCTATCATCCTAACCAAAGAAATGGCTTAGGAAAATCAGCATCTTTTAACCAGGTTACGTCTGAAATGGTTCGAAAGGGACGATAGTAGTTGTATAGTAACTCGAGGTTGGAAAAAATTTTTTTCGGTAAGTGTGGTTGGAAATTTGCTTGAATCTAGTTTAAGTTGTCACTCTTCTAATTAAATGACATTGAGTGGGGATGATTCTTCATTATCAGGTGATTAAAAAAAATGCCACTTCTAATGATTAGGCGTGGCTCCAATACATAAATTGAAAAATTACGGGTGTCTAGATTGTATCTTAAAAAAAAAAAAATAGTGTTTCAAAACATGTTTATGGAAAAACATGTTTTAATATTTTTATGTCAGAGAATTTGTTTGATTACATAATTTAAAAAACAGTTTCGAGAAACAAAAAATAGTAAAATTTGTTTGGCATTGTAATTCAAAAAATAATGAAAATATGAGATGTTGTTTGGATTGATTGTTTCATATATATATAAAAAAAATTATATGATAAACTTGATAAAAATTAACAAAATCATCATATTTTAAAAAAAATTTAGATGTTTACTTAACGAATTTAATACTGATCATATATTATTTTACGCATAAATATCATAATACAACTTTTGATATAATACACGTCATTGTTATTACATAAGAAAAGTCTTTCATTCTCATTATTACATGTTATCATACATATATATAGAAATGATCATTTTTCCACTATGTTGGTAACAAGTAAAAACAAGACGAATCACAAATGAGTTGATTTTTACGATTGACAATTAAGCTATTAACAAGTGTGTGATATTATGCATGTCTATAATCGCAATCGATTGAACAATTATAAAAATACCGTCAATTATTTTCGACGGTACAAACCCCTAAAAATTCTCGTATGACATAAAAATCTTACAACATTATCCTATGTGAAAAATAGATAAAGCATTGGGTGCCCTAATGCTCTTAAATTTTTTGTCTTTTATGTTCACCCATCATGCATCATGATGTTTCTAGAAGGTACCACTACTAGATATGAATTAAGAAAGGGCTTTACTTCAACTCTCCTAATGAAGTCAAAAGGAATAATCAATCCATCACTAGTGCTACCCAACGACAGCATTTGATTACAGCCAAGCCGACCAACAAAATATTGAACTTTGACTTTTTTTTTGCTTGCATACATTGATTGAAGATTTTGGGAAAGATTGTCAATTTTAGATGCAATACAAAATTAATAGATTGAGATTAATTAATTCTTGACATTAATTTAAAAATAATACAGTTTATCACCACGAATAATAATGTCGAGTCAGAGTAACTTATATGTGATAAGCTAAACACATTTAATAGGTACATTACCCCTTCGGCCAGGCAATATAAAATCTCTCAACTGTTTTCGTTCTTTTATGAGGTCCTATCGGGGATAGGTAGGTCCCAAGCTTTTTCCCTCTTTCAATAGTTAATATAAAAGTTATAGTGAATTAAGTCAATAAATTAGGTCAATGAATTAGGTCTCAATAACATTGCTCTTTAAAGATTCTTAAACAACCTGTATAGTTTGACACTAAACATAATTTTCTTAAACTTTTTTTATACATTTGATTTGAAAATAAATGATGGTGTTTACATAGAAGGGAGAATAAATTATTTTTCTTCCATTTTTTTTCATAATTTGCTTAATTTATTTACAAAATTTCATTTATTTTTATGAATTGTGTTTCAAAAATACACTTTTAAAGTTTTTATAATTTTAGTCTCAAAAGTGTTTTCGAAAAACGGTGTCATAAAAATAACTGTAATTTTATAGATAAATTTTTAAATACAATGTTTTGGAAAGAAAATTAAAAAAAAAAAAATGTACCCATTAATAAAAAAAAGGAATAATATTTTTTAAACTTAATTTACTAATTTTATTCGCTCGCCTAATTATTCTTAACCATTAGGTTGATGGATAGTGATCCCACTATTAGCTGAGGAGATTAAAAAATTATGATTAAATGGTATTTTTTAAATTTTTTTTTAAAAAAAAGGTCCATTTCTTTCTGGGCTGGGATTTTTTGTCCTAAGATAACTTGTCACATTCTAAAACTGCCAGATGGTTGGTGGGCATGATGCAATGTGAATCCAAGTTCCAGGTTCCAACTGTACTTTGTAATGCAGTCATCCTGTCATTTAAAGCACTGCATGCCTCCTTTCATCTACGTGGTTTACTCATTTTCTTCATTTTTTCTCCTTTTGGATAAAGCAATCTCTCTGTCTCTCACTCGATTTCGCAATCGCACAACTTCCTTCCTTTCACATCTTCCTGATTTTTTAAGCCTTTGTTTACTCTCTCTCTCTCTCTCGTTATTTTCAACTGTGTTTATGGTTGGTGAGCTAAACTCCAGCTGCCATGCATTGACTTCTTATATTAGTGATCATGCCCATTTGGATTTTCTCTAACCTCTTTCCCTTCTTTCGATTGTGGGTCTCCTCTTAAACCCCCCAAAATGGGGATTTTGAAAGGCTTAGCACTTTCAAGATTGTTCCTTTGATTCTATTGAGATCATAAGAGGTAAATCTTGCATATCCCTCTTCTTCTTTTGCATATATTAATAGTATAGACTTCTTTCTTGTGTTTTAGTTTGTTGGGTTTCTCAGATAGCTTATAAAACTATATGTGAATTGGGTTACCAAAGCTTTCTTATGATTTGACAGAAATCATAATTTGGTTTTGTTTATTGCCTTTGTGCAAAATCAACCTAGCATAGGAACGGGGTTTGTGCAATTCGGATGATGATTAAGAATATTGATCCCACAGTATAGAATACCTGAATTTCATAGGTAAATTGAATGCATATTAAGTGATCATTAGGCCTAAAAATCTTATTTAATCTGTTGCCCTAATAATGTAGTTTCATTATAACGACCGGATTAACATCAAATTCTAATATTTGATTGGCCCACGGTCAATCCAAACAACTATAGTGAATTAGATCTTTATTGAATTAGATNAATTTACTAATTTTATTCGCTCGCCTAATTATTCTTAACCATTAGGTTGATGGATAGTGATCCCACTATTAGCTGAGGAGATTAAAAAATTATGATTAAATGGTATTTTTTAAATTTTTTTTTAAAAAAAAGGTCCATTTCTTTCTGGGCTGGGATTTTTTGTCCTAAGATAACTTGTCACATTCTAAAACTGCCAGATGGTTGGTGGGCATGATGCAATGTGAATCCAAGTTCCAGGTTCCAACTGTACTTTGTAATGCAGTCATCCTGTCATTTAAAGCACTGCATGCCTCCTTTCATCTACGTGGTTTACTCATTTTCTTCATTTTTTCTCCTTTTGGATAAAGCAATCTCTCTGTCTCTCACTCGATTTCGCAATCGCACAACTTCCTTCCTTTCACATCTTCCTGATTTTTTAAGCCTTTGTTTACTCTCTCTCTCTCTCTCGTTATTTTCAACTGTGTTTATGGTTGGTGAGCTAAACTCCAGCTGCCATGCATTGACTTCTTATATTAGTGATCATGCCCATTTGGATTTTCTCTAACCTCTTTCCCTTCTTTCGATTGTGGGTCTCCTCTTAAACCCCCCAAAATGGGGATTTTGAAAGGCTTAGCACTTTCAAGATTGTTCCTTTGATTCTATTGAGATCATAAGAGGTAAATCTTGCATATCCCTCTTCTTCTTTTGCATATATTAATAGTATAGACTTCTTTCTTGTGTTTTAGTTTGTTGGGTTTCTCAGATAGCTTATAAAACTATATGTGAATTGGGTTACCAAAGCTTTCTTATGATTTGACAGAAATCATAATTTGGTTTTGTTTATTGCCTTTGTGCAAAATCAACCTAGCATAGGAACGGGGTTTGTGCAATTCGGATGATGATTAAGAATATTGATCCCACAGTATAGAATACCTGAATTTCATAGGTAAATTGAATGCATATTAAGTGATCATTAGGCCTAAAAATCTTATTTAATCTGTTGCCCTAATAATGTAGTTTCATTATAACGACCGGATTAACATCAAATTCTAATATTTGATTGGCCCACGGTCAATCCAAACAACTATAGTGAATTAGATCTTTATTGAATTAGATCAATAAATTAGGTCCAATGACATTGCTCTTAAGTGATATTCCTCTGTCTGCCCGTAACATGTCCTCTAAATAGTAGTTCCTTCTTTGACAAAGGTCATTATATCAGGTAATTTTTTCTTTTGTTCATGATGTTGATTTCTTGTTGGAATTCTAAATAAATTTGTAGTAATGGAATTGGTTTGGAAAATTTCTGCTCAGTTCCTTTTGTTGTTAATTATGGATTTGATTTTCTTAGTGACAATTGGGAGGAGTTGTCAGCTTTTGCTCTTATTTATCAAGGTTTCTTTCCAGGGAATAGACAATTTTTGGGGCTATGAAGTGTTTCCCATTCTATAATGGAGATAAGAAGGATGAACGGAAGACTACAAAGTCGATTTCAGTTCAGTCCTCTACTTCCATGTCAACTGATTTTGAGGCGAGGAAATCAGTGTCTGAATTTAATTCGCAGAACATCTCGTATACAAGCACCGAATCCTCTACAAGGATCTCATTTACCAGTTTGTCTCCAAGGCCTAGTAATCTCAGAGTCTTTGAATTTGAGGAGCTGAAGGTGGCCACCAGGAATTTTAGCCGTTCTCTTATGATTGGAGAAGGTGGATTTGGTGGTGTATACAGGGCTGTGATACGGGATAGAGAAGAGTCAAATAAAAAGCTTGATATTGCTGTTAAACAACTTAGCCGAAGAGGGTTGCAGGCAAGGTTTCTCTCTCTTAGTGTAATTCTGGTGACTCTGGAATTTTGATTTTGAATAAACTATACATTCTAGTTTTGAAATTCTAATTAGTTTGTCTTGATAACATAATTGACTCCAGTTAGAGGTAACAGCGACAAACTTGTTAGCCAACGGACTATTAATTCAGAATCAAAAAACATGGCTAGAAAGTGTCTAAAAAATTGTTCATCTGGCTCAGTTATATCTGCTTATGGAGAAATTTGTAAGGTCATGTGGAATAGGATGACCAATATTTCGAAATGACGATGTTTGTGGTGAAACACTTTTATTTTGTCAACTCAGATTCATTCTGTAATAAGCCACATTTAGGGCTTTATATCTTATTTTCAGCTGTCTTATTGCTGTTTGACCTCTTTCCTATTCATTGGTTGCTGAAATCTGTTTTGCCAGATGGTGCATTGGAAATTGGATTCCATTTCTATTATAGTCTTTACTTATTTTACACCATAGTTCATTAATCTTTTTCTGTTACATTTTAACTTGCAAACAACCTCTAATGGGTTCTCCAAACGGAGAACTGTCCATATATGGGTCTTAGTACTAAGATATATATTTTTTCCTTAAACTAAACAAAACGTTATTTCGGACTGTACTAAGATATGCTTCCTCTGCTAGAGACAATTCGTTACAGAATTAATGAGGTAAAACCTGACAAGATTGGATCAGCGGTCATATCCGGTTGAGCTTAAAAAGCTTTCTATAGTTTTGATTAGCTGCTTATATATGCAAAATCAAAAAAGTACATAAACGTGTCTGAGTCCTTGCTGGCGGTCAATTACTTTGGCTTCTATTTTTTCCCTAAAAGGTTATCCTGAAGTCTTAAAGCGCAATGTTTGAGTCAAGGAACTAAGGTGCCAGGTAAACCCTATACTGATATATTTCTTGTCCAAAGTTATATTACGCAGTCTCTCAGACACTGACAATTAGAACTTAATTACTTCAATAAGCTCTCAAATAGTTGGTGTGCTTTTAAGATTTTCAGGAAAGCTGCTTTTGAGAAGGGAATGAATTTCTCTTATTCTAATTCTTTTTGCATTACATGTGAAAAGAGACTTGAAAATGGAGAGGGAAAGGTAGAGAAAGGCAGAAAGAGAAAGCGACTATGGTTCAGAAACTCTTTTCCGAAGAGTTTGTGAAGAGTGGGGTTTGTTGAACTGTGATTTTCTCCTTTGTATTCAAAACTTGATGGTCCATTTAATAGTTGATGCAGATATAACTGCTTTCTTAAGAAATTGATCTAATTTACATCTTTGAAGTTGAAGAACATGATAAAATAAAAATTTTGGAAGGTCAGTCTGGAATGCCATCCTGAGTGCACCATTGCAATATAAAACATTTATCACAGTTGCAACTACTCAAGATATTGGCTTTTCATTGTGCTGTTAGTTCGGTTTCTCTAAAATTTGAATACTCTTATAGTAACTCTGTTTAACTGCCCAGCTCTTTCTGTCATAATGATCTTATTATTATTTGGTACCTGTATATGTCTACGCTCTTACTGTAATTACTACTTCTATCTCTTAATCATAGTTTTTAGTCAACTATCTTACTTTGATGCTCATGGCTTCAACTACAGGGGCACAAAGAATGGGTGACAGAAGTGAATGTCCTTGGGGTTGTTGAACATCCAAATCTTGTCAAACTTGTGGGCTATTGTGCTGAGGATGATGAAAGAGGGATCCAAAGGCTATTAATCTACGAATACATGCCCAAAAGAAGTGTGCAAGATCATCTATCAAGTCGATTTCAGACACCTCTCCCATGGGCTACTAGACTAAAAATTGCCCAGGATGCTGCTCGAGGCTTGGCATACCTCCATGAAGGAATGGATTTTCAGGTGCCGCCCTTCCCCTTGTTTCCTCTCGAGTTTATTCCCATTTTTTTGATATACTGTCTTCTATATTTTAAAGCACTGTGGTATATGCATTATATCTGTAGGTAGTAATACCAGGTGTATGGTGTTTTTTCTCAACCGTCAAATGAGTTAATTCAACTTGAGGAATCTTAAGAAATGTCTTTGAAATTACGAGTTCTCTTTTGGAGTTAATCCCATAGGCTTCTCTAATGGTCAGCCCAGAAAATATTCACTATTTCTTCGAAGACTTGTAAAGGTAGAAAATATTTGTCCACTTGCCATATGTGGTGCCGACATGAGGTCTTATTTAGTGTTGATGTCGTTAAGGACCTGAAAGGGAAACAAAAAGTAAAAAAAAAGTTTGTAAAGTGGTGCGAACTTCCATGGAGTGGAAAACTAGGCTTCAAAATCTGTATACCTCAACCTATTTCTGCATTTAAGATACTCATACTCAACCTTAAATTACATGCGCAGACATGTAAGGCATAAATTCTTTTATAGTTTTCCTTTAATTTATGGATCAACCTCCCCCTCTATCCGTCTCCCTCACTTACACGCTCACACACAGTGGCTGCAATCTTTCTTCATTGAGCCAGTATTAGATGTTATTGCTATATTCGACACACATGCCTGAAGTTTCCTTATAGAAGTATGTTATTTTGGCACAGATTATTTTCAGAGATTTCAAATCCTCAAATATCCTCTTGGATGACCAGTGGAATGCTAAACTTTCGGATTTTGGATTGGCCAGGCTTGGCCCTTCTGATGGATTGAGCCATGTCTCAACAGCGGTATGTTTGTATCACCTTATCCATTCTTTTATGTAAAGCCTTATTATCCAACTGAATAAACTCAAATTTGTGTAACATAACTGAAGGAAACATGCCCATGTTTGCCTTCTGTATTGCAATTCAGCAGTGTTGCTTTTCATGATTGTAATTTCTGAAGAGATTGTTTTTCTAATATGTATTTGGGAAACCAGCAGTCAGGATTAAAATTTTGAAGAGCAACATTGCAGACATATCGAAAGTTAGAGTGTTTGGGGATTTTTTTTGTGCTGGTTTTTCTGGATTCATTTGGTGCCACTAAAAATTCATAGTTCGGGAATTACTTGGATAGATTCAGTGGAAACAATTGGGATGATCTTCGTGCAGCCACATGAATTCGTGGTTGAATTATGTCATAAAATTCCTCATCAAGCTGATTAGAAATATCCATTAGATTCAGTTTTGTATCATTAACCTATAAGATTTGGTCCCCCTTTTTAAATCCACTAATTGGGTGAAAGCTCCTCAACATGAATTCTCTGGTAGTTAAATTCGTATAAACTTGGTAAATATATTTTGCATTAAACAGATTGTAGGAACTGTCGGATATGCTGCGCCAGAATACATCCAAACTGGGCGTCTCACATCCAAGAGCGATGTGTGGAGCTACGGAGTCTTCCTTTATGAACTCATTACCGGTCGGCGTCCTTTGGATCGAAACCGCCCTAAAATTGAGCAAAAACTTTTGGAATGGATCAGACCACACCTCTCTGACGTGAAAAAGTTTGAACGGATTTTAGACCCTCGGCTGGATGGTAAGTACTGCCTCAAATCTGCTCAAAAGCTAGCAGCTGTAGCCAACAGGTGCTTAGTGAGACAACCAAAGATGCGCCCTAAAATGAGTGAAGTATTGGAGATTGTGAACCGGATTGTGGAGGCAACCGAAACTGAAAGCCCTGAAGCCCCAATTCAGACTATCACTACAGTAGATGTTAATGAAAAATCCATGGAAGGATTGAAGAAAAGGTTCATAAATTCTACAATCGGAGAAAACAGGTGCTTGGTTTGGCGAACTTGGAGACCTGATTTTGTGAGAACCAATTGAGCACAAAACATACAAACAGCAAGGGACGAGACAGATTTGCTTGGCATATGAGTAAAGAAGCCTATGCAGCAAGGCAGCTTCTTTTTGTATGTATGTTTTCTTTGTGCTATGCAATTTCAGAGGTTTTTACTTAAATTTTGACTCATCTAGCAATTTGTCGACCTCAAAATTTTGTTGATCGTTTGGAGTTTGCGAACTCAAAGGACTGCCACATGACAACCTCAGCAACTTTACCAGTGGCAATACCCCCACCTTTCCAATCTGCATCTGCATCATCTGCACCTTTCACCGCTGTTTCCTTTGATGACGATAACATTTAAATGAATGTATGATATTGTAAAGAAAAAAATCCAGTCTGTTGAATTGTTCTTCAAGCTTTCGGTTTCTCAATATTAAAGTCCTGGATGATATAGATTTGCATATAGCGTTGCTTTGCATATCAGGAATGTGTGTGTATCTTTTTTTCAGGAAGTGAATGTGTTTATATCTTTGTTCTTGATGAAGTTCTCTATTTAACTAGTACTCTACGTTTCCCTAACTTCAGTTTTGGAGCTTAGAAGATGTAATTCTGTATGCATTGGGTTGGCTTAGATACAGTAGTAGTATCTGTTTTTATCAGTTCAATATCTCATGTGTTGCAATTCATCGATGATATGACATGACTTTTTACGATTGCTTTCGAAAAAGAATATCAACTGTTACACCCAATAACAAAGTCATCTATTAAAAACTTTATCCAAATTCAGTCCGAGATTCTTTCTTAATTTTCACTCTCAATTTTTTTGATCCCAACAGCAACACTAACAACTCTGCTTTGCAACTGGCAAACAGAGGAAACAAAATTAAGCCCAAGATCTCTCTGTATTTTTTTTTTTTGTGTTGGTGGTAATAAGTTTTTGCCACTAAACATACTCCTCCTTCAGTGACAATATTTGTCGTTTCAATTTAAATTTAGCGGCTAAAAGTGATTTTTCTTGTAGTGTCCCTAGTTGCAGGATTAAGGAAGGAGGCGATTGTTAGCAGAAAAGGAGAGAAAGATGTGGTTGGTTTTGATAATTTTTATATGAAAAAGATTGATATATAATTGTTTAAATGGGTTGTCAATCAATCATGTTATGTAATATTTTTAAGTTAGTGTTACAAATTTTTTAGAGCAAACCCGACCCATTTAATCAAGTTTACGTCATCGAGTGAATTTGTGTTGTGTTTACCCAGATTTCTGTAGACCAATTTCTTTGTCGTGTCAAGTTAGTCCACTTGTTTAACAACCGAAATCACTAAAAATTAGTGTGTTTTTTTAATCACAGGCTGACTATTTTTATGAAATTTTAATTAAACAAACTACTCTGAGTGATTGAGAAAGCTGCTACTTTTGTGATTTAGTTGGTGAAAATTGTAAGGCAGTCAGAAAAAGAGTTGAGCCAGTGTAGCTCACTTCATATTCCCTCCATTTTTTGTGCCAACTCTTTATGAAAACAGAGATATTGCCACGTGCTCTCATGCATAGGTATTAGATCCTTTGTAAACGGTGAAGATCCTTGCTTCCTCATAGAGGGACAGAATCTAATTGGTCAACGTTGAACGGGGAAGAATAACTGTAGCTTTAACAGTTGGATTATTTTTTCTTTTCTTTTCTGTTTTTGGGTGGGGAGTGGGGAGTGGGGCCAGGGGAGAGGTAGATGGATTCCAGTAGTCTGATATTAGTTTAAACCAAGGGGACGACCTATGTTCTTGGTTTAGACCAAGGGTACGACCTATGTTAAGCAGAGATTCAGTCAACAACCAAGGGAGTCACCTATGTAAATAAAGCAAGAGTAATGTTAGATTGATTAAAATTTTAAATTAAATATAAAATTTAAATGACATGACAATTGACTTAGAATTCTTTTATTGGTGTCATGTCATTTAGGCCCTAATAAAAACTTTCAATAATTAGTTACCGTGTCATTTAGACTCCAAATTTAATCATAAAATTTAATCACAAAAGCATTACTGGTTAAGCAAAACACTATTTACGGTATTATAGTCTAGACAAAAAGTGCTTTAGTTGTGACAATGAAGGGCTTTAGTTTAAAGTACACATATATGTGGGTAATTGTCATTAACGTTTCTCCTAAATAAACATATCTATAAAGAAAGAGTTTTTTCTATTATCCAAAACATCGTTGAGAATCTTTTTAATTTATAAAGAAACATGACTAACACTTATGTCGTTAAATTACCGTTTCTAACAAAAAAAATTTTATTTAAAAAACCAAAATTATCTTTCTATAAACCCAAATAATCTTTCTATACAAAATTCGATTAAAATTTGAGTTAATTAAAATTTTTTTTTTTATGTATTAAAATTTAAGCGGATTAAAATTCGTTTTTTCTGCATATTAAAATTTGAGCCGATTAAAATTCAATTCAAACTGATTAAATTTTATTTTTTATGTATAAAAATTCTAGCATATTAAATTTATTTTAATACTTAAAAAAATATAATTTTTAATTGACTCAAATTTTAATATGTAAAAATTAAATTTTAATTAGTTCGACTCGAATTTTAATTGGCTTAAATTTTAATAAGTAAAAAAAAATTAGAAAATAGAAGGGATTTCATTAAGGATATGCCTATCTCGATGGGGTGTGAATAAAATTTTTACTAAAGTATTTTATGAACAATTTATTAAAATTATATTTTAGTTAATGTCATTAATCTGATAGAGGATGTTAGTAAAAACTAAAAAAAATAAAAAGACTGTCTTTGTAGGTGTGATAAACTAAAATAGTGTGGACGGAATTTTTACTATATATAATTGAGAGAGAGAGAGAGAGAGATAGAGATCTTACAAAAATGCCTAACCATTTAAAATAAAGCAAGAGGAAAGCAACAGAGAAAGTCTTTCTACTCCACTTGTTGTGGATACTATTCCATGCCTAGGAATCTATCCTATATAGGGCATTTAGAAATGTACAATGTGGCTTTTTGGTACTTGGTTTTTGGGTTAATGATGTGCTCATTGGTCTCCCTACGACCTATTTTCTAATATAAAAGGAGGAGAGAAGCAGTTTTGTCAAATCCAAAGCACTTCATTTCCCCAAGCTCAACATAGTCAAAGAGAAAGGTACTATCTCTCACGCACAACTGTAGTATTACTCTACTCTATTATGCTAAGAATGATTTTTTGCTGTGTTCTAGGGTGTGGAAATTCGACAATGTCAGGCTATGCATTCTGTTTTGAAAAGGAACTCTCACCAACAGACACTTCACGTAATCTGGAGATACCAAAGTGGGCATCTGACTTGCCTCCTGGAAATGCCACCATGCATGTAGTCGACCCAAATGGAGACACCACCTGGGAGTTTATATGTTCCACAAGGAGCAGCGGTCGACGCTCGATGACATATCAGTGGATTGATTTTGCAAAGAAGAAGAAACTTAGGCCCGGTGACATACTCCGATTCTATCGTTTGTCAAATGGAGATGGGTATTTCATGGAGCTTGAGCGCCACAGCATCCGACTCTTTGGTGTGACCATGTGCATCAGCTGAACTTCGATATGTACTTGTCGAAGGAGGTTATATGTAGTTCGCTCTTCTTCTTTTTTGAGTCTGTCTGTTTTACGCCACAAAATATATCCAGAACTGCCTTAAGGTGTCAGTGTCACTCATAATTGGCTTCTTTATCTAAGCAACAGAGTGATGGGAGAGAATAAATATTAGTTCTTCCAGCTTTCTGCCATGTACCCTAAAAGCTCCTGCTCTTCATATGTAGAGATAACTTAGCTGATCTTCCTCGTGTAGTTATTAGATATAGTTATTATTTTTTTTATTAGATCTAGTTAAGGTGTCTAATTAAGTTAGAAATGTACAAGTAAAAGATTTGTTTTGTCAAAAAGAGATGCATAAGCTCACCAACTGCAACTCAGTAACAAAATGATCGAAAAACAACAGCTCAGCGGTGGTGGTGGTGCCATGGTGGTGTACTACAATTCGGTGGTCGTGGTGCAGTGGTTTTACAATCCAGTGGTGGTGGTGGTGTACTACATTTCAGGTAGCAGTGGCAGTGGCGGTGGTGGTGCTGCGACTGGTGGCGGTGGTGTACAATTCAGTGGAAGAAGGAAGTCAGAAAATGACAAAATAAGCGGTTCTCAAGTCAACCTGGTATTTTCCAACTAGAACTCGATCCACTTGACTCAAATATATGGCGATTCGGTTACACCCTGTTTTTCTCGGTCTTTTTTGACTTCACGACAGTGATGGCCCTTTACCGATGGGTAACAGTTGTGTAACGCTGGTAACGGGACGATTCGGGTTAAAACGGACCGAAACAAGCACAATTGATTTTTAAGCACAAAATCCCAATTTTTTGCTCCTAACAATTCACGACAACTTGAAATCTTAATCATTTGGATATAAATAAAGAAGATTTTACAACAAAACTTCAATTTTTATTTTTTTTGGGTAATTACAAAATTAAAATTGGATTTAGTTGTTTTGAGGATTCTGTGAAGGAATTAAAGGTAAACAGAGGAGGGGGGGGGGGGGGGGGAGAAAGAGGAAATGGGGCTTGGGACTAACCTGGGAAGTGCCGACCGATGAGTTTATCTCTTCCCCATCTTTTGTTAAGCTGCTTCTGAGTTTTTTTATTATTTGAATCGCCGGAAAACAGAGAGTCCATCGGCTTTATGTGCTGCGAACGGATGAGTGGAAGATGACGAAGAAAAGAGGGAGATGCTTAAACACGTGGAAGTGATTAAACGAGGGTGACATGATGATGCCCATCATATGCAACCCACGGGAGATGGGTTCGTCTTTATTTAGGAGTTTACCAGCGGTGACCCAACTTTCTGAGCATTATAAGACAAAAGGCAAATTCAGGAACACAGAAAGGAGATGATGGGACTTAGAGGTCCCGTTGTAAGGTGCCTTGTCCTCAACATGCTTGTTGAATATTCCCTGGGTATTCGCTTTTCACATCGCAGATACCAAGTACCATAGGACATAACTTCAATTGGGATTTTGAGACTTACTATGCCAATACAACATGCAACTTAAAAACACATGGTTTGACAACTTCTGAATCTAAAGATTTCTTTCTGAGGACATTTGAAATTACCACCAGAAGAGTTTGACAAGAATGGATTTCATCCATCTTCTCTGCGAGGGTACATTCAAAAGAAAGATCCTTCCATGGTTGGTAAAATTGCATGTATGAATGAAGGGAAAAAAAAAAACGGCTTCAGTTTGACAAAATCTAGGACAGTGAGCGTGACAAGGCAGCAAAGGTAGCTGCAAGGCAAGGAGTTTGGACTTCAAATTTTTGAAGTCCAAATCCAGCCGAATCTCTCATATAAACCTCAGCAGCTATAGCTGCTTTTTTTTTTTTTCTGCTTTTTTTCACTCTTTTTATGAGCATCTGTAAGTGTCTGTTATTGGTGTTAAATTGATTGTATAGAATTCTAGATAAAATCATTGAACAAAAAAAAAAAATCATATCTGAAATTGAGCCAATCTACTCGGCCCTTCCAAATTAAAAACTCCCTCTCAAAAGCTACTAAGAGGTCTCCTCAGACTAGACTGAAAAAATGACTAGCCACAATCACCAAATCAGCCTAATAGACTGAAGTCCATCTCTAGAACCTGAAAAAAAAATCGAAAAAAGTTGGTCTTCTATAAACCTTAAAATACAACAAAGGGTGGCCCAACACCTAAGACTCCCACTAGTGTGGGGTCCAAGTCTCCAAGATTCAAATTAATGATGCATAGATCATAATAAATGGAACAATCTTACTGTTGCATCCAAAACCGGCATCCTAGAAATCAAATTGTCTTTGCTCAAGTGAACACTGACCTTAGAGTTTTGATAATTTTATATTTTCATTCGCAATCACCGCCATACAAATTTTTCTCTAAAATTTTGCTCCTAACATGAATTTTATTGTTAGTAAAACATCATACCCGCAAGGTGATAGGTAATAGAGTGATCCTTATGATTTAGTTATTGAGAAAATTGTAGCATATCAAGAATTAGAGGCAATTTTTGTTCATTAATAACCATTTTGTTTTTAATGATCACATGTTTTTGTTTCCTTATATATATACTTTGTTATCTAACATAATTTGTAGTTTTCATTGACCTAACAATTGAATCACTTGACACAACGATTGAACAGTTCTAATGTTAGGTGAAGTCCATTTTCAATTCAATGATTATATTAAATTAAATTCACATATTAAGTCTTCAAATTACACCCAAATTATATATTTTTTAATATGAATGTTTGAATTTATTGGTCCACTAAAAAAGGTTAATATAACCTTGCTCACACGTGCATGTCTTTGACAATGTTGGACTAGCTGCTTTATTTCCCTCTAATTTTGTTCCCGATTTCTTTCCTCTGTTATTTTCTTGACATCTGAAGTGGTGGTGGTATCAACGGCGACACCATTGGGCAACAATGACAATGAAATTCATACTAAAAGCGAACTTAGATACCCCCGGCGAGGACCTGGATCCCTCATGTTTAACTATCTATTTCTTTGGGAAAATTTCACCCACATCACATGTAGATTACCTTATCTTTCAATGGGATCTCTTGTATTCTCATAAATTTCACTGACACCCTTTATCAGTATAAAAGAAACAACGATAACGATAATACAGTCTTACCAGTTTACCCCCAAGCTTTATACAGAGAGAGACAGAGAGAAGCGAAAATAAACATATATTCCCCCTGTTTTTTGCTCTTTTCTTCTGTTCCCAGGTTTCTGTGATTGTCAAGGAAAAAACCTAGGTTATACTTGCCTGGAAAAGTATGCATATTTAGGCACATGACAAAACAAAGACACAAATTGGATCAAGGCTAAACATACGAGTAAAACAGGTAATGGGCAATAATCTCGACTTCAAATTGGGCGTGTGGAAATGTCAAATTGCGAAAATAGAATAGATAAAGTTTGCATCCCATAAGTTAGTTATTATAGCAGCAACAACCAAAGGCCTACAAAACATTACAGAAGGTGACAAAAAACTATTACGACAAAAAAATATATACAAAAAGAATAGAAGTCTTAATATAACGAAAATAACGTAGGAAATTTGATATGTACAAGTAAAGCCTACACGCATATGCATCAGCAGAGGAAGAGCTACCGCTTTCTCAATGATTTGGACCACCATGAAATGATATCTGCAGAGAAAAATCCACTTTGAGACGGGCCAGATAGCATAGAGGCCAACACTGAACCTTCTTCCAGAGACAAGAGTTATTAAGTGTCAAAACTGTTCCAAACCCCAACAGACTTGTGCTATGAATACTAACTCGCAATCCAGTCCCACCACGTCTTCTTTTTAGTAGTCTCTGAAGCAGGAAAATCTGCAAATTGAGTAACATAAAGGCGGGCGGAAGAATCATCACCATTAAGTACACTAAAGATGCTAAAACTCCAATTATTTGGTAAAACGGTAATATCCTGCCTAGGTTTGAAAAATCTGAATCTAATTGTCAAAATAAAAGTACACCTCGAAAAATTTCGGATGAGTGAGAGGAGCAGGCGTCAAAACAAAATAATTAATAGATAGCACATGAGCCAACAAGTAATAATCTCAAATTCATTAAATCCAACAAGAAGAACCTTCCAGTTAACACACACCAAATAAATGAGCATTCTACATTGCTTCTCACTAGCTGAACACTGTGTTCATCAGTTTAATTTGTGAACTGTGTGTACCTAGTAAAAGGGAAAACAATCAACTTTTGTGTTGAAGATGTTGGAGACTAAATCAACTCCAAGCTGCAATGCAGATGACAAACTTGTCCACGATTCCAGATAAATAACCAAATAGTGAAAACATGGGGAACAACCACTCATTGTTCCATGAATCCGAACATCAAAAACAGAACCAAAAACTGGGACCAAATATTGATCATCCAAATCATTCTATGACCTGACACATCAAACAACCAACCCAAAAGAGTGAAACAAAAGTTGTCATTTTAACTAAACACCAGCCCCAGCAAGGCAAGTTCCAGGAGTCAGTGTCAACCAATACACAGAATAAGCGATTTCTAACTTATTTTGTGAACATTGTACCTTAATATGGGATCAATTTTCTTTCAATTTTGTTGAAAGACCATATGTCAAAATTTCATGCTTATGATAACATTATACTTGGCTTAGAGTATAATCAGATACCTGATTTACTGTGATCGGTTAAACCGTTGTAATCTTCTGTTACTCCTTGTATCCATCAGTTAATAAAAAAGGCTCAAGTTCGGCTTCTTAAATCCAAACAACTCAAATGTTCTATGCAACATTTCTTGGTGCTCTGGTGAATTAAGTTTAATATCGGACAGATTCAATAAAAATGGATATTTCTAAAATTTGTGTGCATCATGAAAAATAATTTCCAAATCTTATATTTTACTACGAGCAAGCACAACGCATAAAACATTCACAGTGCAAATATACGTGATGAACCCCTGTTTGTATTCACACCCCAGTTTTAAATATGTATCCTATCAATGGAATGAATCATGTGGATGGTGGGTTTTAGCGTAGCAGTAACGTCGCTCTATTATGATCTCTGAGTCAAGTATTCAATATGCAAACAAATATTTCCGAATATGGCTACGCACAATTGACACTCCCAGGCCCTACAGTCGTGGGAGCCTCGTGCACTGGCCTGCCTTTTTAGCTTAATGAATCATGTCGTACCAATATCTTATATCCATGTCCACACTGCATAGATATATTTGCATTTCATCAGCTAAATCTCTTAGTCATGATTAGAGCCCTTTATTAGATGTCCAAACCTAAAGTTCTTCCACTCTTCAGAACAAAAATTCCTTACCATGTGCACTAAGTAGGGCTAATAATCGAGCTGAAATTGTTAAGCTCGTTTTTTAAACAAGCTTAAAAAGTTGTTCGAGCTTGGCAAGTTTAGAAAATAAGCCGAGTTCAAACCGAGCCTAAAACGAGTTGAATCCGAGCTGACCTGAGTAGCTTAACTATTTTACATATAAACGAGCCGAAATTTATGAGCTCAAGACGAGCCTTTTAAAAAAAGAGCCTAAAATTTGTTCAAGTTTGGCTCGTTTAGGACACGGGCCTAGCTCGAGTCCTATTCGATCCGAACCTGAATATCTCGGCTCAATTTTTAGCCATAATACTAAGGCTAAAAAGTAACTCAAACTTGATTGGCGGCGAGATGAAACATCCTCAGTCACCATCCTAAAGTGATTAATCATCACTATATAATTGCATCTAGACTTTTGGGAACGAACTTGTACGCAAAAACCACCTTCAACCTGGTCTTCAATGGAAATTACGTTATAGACCTTGCAACTGAAGCTATATTGAAGCAGTGTCATCTGTAAATGGGTGCTCAAATGTCCTCTACCCTGGTTCTTCTAAAAATAAAAAAACAAGAATAGTAATGTTCTTATCAAAGTCCAGTGATGAGATAAACCTTACATTATGTACATCATCTCAACCCAAAACTTGTCATCTACCTTCAATGATGATGCCTAGGCACAAGCCTCGATCTTTAGTTCATAAACCACAGTTCAGATCACCTAGGTGCCTTGATAGCATGATCTTTTTATGGTTTGCGTATCAATTCAAACGTTACATCTATGCATTATAAACAAGTTGCATTCTGGTAATGATGGAATCATAAAAACATGTAGATTCAAAATGTACAGAAATTGTCCCAGTCCAATTTTTGAAGAAGTGCAGTGTTAGAATGTCCACATCGTGTCACATCCATGTCACGTGTATGTATCTGTGCCTCTTATAATAAAGATAGAGAAAATAGATGTGATATTTTACGTTTAACACAAAATATAGCCTTAGATAGAGCACAATGGAGGAACAAGATTCATAAAACCAAACCCAAATAAATTAGACAAGACTCAAGTGAGTTGAGTTGAGCTGTTGAAGATCAGTACAGTAAGTAACAATACTACAGTAAACTATCTTGTTGGATTTTAGCATTAGAGCAAGACTGAAAGCTGAATATTTTTCAAATGGAGTGGGAAAATCCAGAGTGGACAAAAAAGTTGGCCAGCATAGAATTGAGGTGCCATGCTTTTATATCAGAAAGCCTCATGAGAACATGCTGTAAACAAAACCAGGTTAAGGTCAATCATAGTTTGATTTGTCCTAGTTGTCATATGCATGCAGTGCACACGGATAGACAAAATTGTCTGAGACATAATATTGTAATTACGTATTGGGTTTACCTCCTTGTGGATAAATTGAGTTATAGTGCACCTCTGCCCAAAAGCTCAAGCAAATAACTGCATGAAGCACTGGTCATAAATCTTCATGAAACCATCTCAAATAAAATAAAATATCTTTAATTAAGATATGATGGTATTTAATCTATTAGGAATTTGTATTCTGATAAGTCGACAAGACAAATTAAAAATGGAAGAGTTAAAAGATCAAACCCAACAAGTGGTACAAAATGAATAAGAAAGATTTTTTTTTTTGGTGATCACCCAAGATGAACTCATTGAATACCTATGAAATCAAGCAATTCCTACGAAAAAAATTGTGAAGCTTAAAAGGGATTTGAATAAAATACTTGGAACCAACAAAAGAAGCAGCATAGCCTCCAGGGTGATGTAGGACCAGAGGGTGAAAAAAGATGACAACGACGACGAAGAAGAAGAAGAAGAAGAAGAAAGATTCCAATTCCGATTGGCAAACAATAATCAATATGGCAGAAACTGAAATCCTCCTTACAATAAGCCCATTTATTGGCAACAATGATATAACCAAACTACGAGAAGTATACCAAAAAGTAGTGGTAATGTTATTTGAATTCCTACATGAAGAAAATAAACAAAATAATCCTCGAATAAATGCGTCAATTCTAAAATTCAAGAAAATCTTCTACCAATTCTTTTTTGTACCCCGTCAAAAAATGTTCTTAGTCAAATTGAGCATTCAATCCACAATAGAAATGATTTATCGAAACTTACCTCTGTTTGACTTCTGAATGTGTGGAAGAATCTCAATGTAACAAGTATCCTTGAACGATGTTATGACAAATATCTTAACACCAAACTGCAATTACAATATAACCAACAATTAGTCATGTGACAAATATGTACCCAAATATAAAATTATCATTCCAATCTTGAGGACTAGGAGCACATAAACGATTCAAAAATTCATGCCACTCGAATCTAGTAAATAATACAAAAAGAGAGCCAGCAGATCATTTATAACATGCGAAAGTCTAGTAGTACATTACATTCATGGAGTTGAGTCAGTTGAACACAAGGAAAATCCTTGCATCTAAGTATGTTTGGTCTTATGTCACCAAGTGTTTCAAAACTTTTCTTATCCCTGGCCCATTAAAACAGCAGATCAATCTAACACAAACTCATTTTGGCATAAAGAGCAGAGGATAACGAAAGAGGAAACACTACAACAACCAAAAATTCCAGATACCAGAAATTAATGACTGATATATCTGTTTGATAATAATGTATTGATTAGATTGATTTTTTTATATAAAAAATTCTTGATGGTAGGTAACAACTGTGAAGAGAGCTTGTATCTCACATCGAATAATTAGGACCACCATCACCAAGGCCGGTTTATATACTTGAGGGGCCACTCGAACCATTGTTAATTGATTTTGGGTTGGATCCTCTAACAACGACATCTACTACTACCATACTACTTCAAAATAGTGGACAACATATCCAAATAATGTTGCAAAATGTACTCTAATTATACCATCAAAATTATTTTCTCATGAAGTTTTTGGCAATCATAAACTCCTATGCGCCACTTCTGTAAGTTCCAGAACACTATATGCTTGGTGATCCAAAACTATCTGATCACAAAAAATTATCATATATGGTTCCTACAACATTAAAACAAGACACCCAATTTAGTTCTCATTAGTGGGGGTCTGGGAGGCATAAACTGGGCACTGACCTAACCTTTCTCATTATTTGCACAAAGCAGATCCCTCAGGTCCGAAGCCACCACCTTAAGGTTATTGGGCCAAATTTTAACCACTAAACAAATTCATGGATCTTAAAATACCAATTACCAAAACTTGTTTCCAGAAACAAACTTTAAAAATTAGGTTCACTGCAAATTGTAACCCTCTGAAAATAAATTCTTCAGAAGTGCGGAAGCGACCAATATGATCATACTTGCGAAAGATAATTAGTAATCGTCTGCCTGAGAATAATATCATGGATTTTGTTACTTTCCACCTATGCAGATGTAATTTCTGGGAATATGAAAGAGAGGCCAAGGCGTGAGTGTGTGCACCTGTGGGTGTGGGTGTGGGTGTGGAGAGAAATAGAGAGATGCTACTACCGTATCAGCAGCTGCCTGCAATGTGACATGATCACCCCATTCACCAGTCCTATCATCATTTAAATTAAAGGGTAAAAATCTAAGAATGGCCTACTTTTATAAATAGCATAAGTACCCAAAGGAAAAGATCTTATAAGGAGAGGTAACATACTTGCTGATTTTTGTCAAATAGTCATCATAAGCCATGGGAACATAACCTTCATACAGCTCTGGATGAGACTTTAGCTGATGACATTGACACAAGCACAAGAAATAACAAAGACATCACAGTTGGATACAATACATGAAAATGACATCAAAAGTAACAAACAGTATTGAAAAAAATACCAAATTTCTGGATATCAAATGCTAACCAACCTGATAAACAATTTGTTCTCTCACAAATTTGTGGTGATCGGCAGTTCGATAGACTTGATCAGACAATGAACGAAACTGGGAGAACAAAAAAAATCATAAGACACTATTCTGAAAATATAGAGGACCACAACAAGCTTATCAGAGGGGTTGGCAAGCAGCAATAGGTAGTCAAAACTATCACATGAATCTCCTGAACCCAATGAAACATAATTGTCAACCATAATTGCTCTTGGATGTTAAAAGAAAACGAGTGAATTGGGCGGACAACATGATTTCATCATATCTCCAAGAGATCAAAAACAATGAATCTTACATTAAATACTTAAAAAATTCTTTTTCAGTACTTATTGAGTATCGGGAATTCAGCACCTAGATTTAACACCAATTGCAATTGACAAAGAGAAAAAACATATGTATATCTAATTGCCATATTCTTAACAGCAAAGTGCAGAAAATTTTTCCAAGGAAAATAACGGCACTGCTTTAATCAGGTAAATTTCACACCACCCGGGCAATTAAAAACAAGAAAAGAAGAAAAGGCATATCCAGAAACGGTAACCAACATAACCAATGTGGTTTCAATTCAGAAATTCCTCATTTTAAAAGGGAAAATTTGATTTTTCCAATAATGGTTCTCTGACAACAAACTCACCATAATATATAAAACAGATTGGAAATACATGCCTCCCCTACACTGAAAATTGCCCAAGATCATGTTCAAACTGCTGTCTTGCAATTCATAGTTTGCAAAGCATAATAATATTGGGTAAAATGCAACCTTCATAATTATACGAAACGAGTAGCTAAAAATATGAGCTTTATTGCAAATAGTACTAAAACATACAACTGAATCTAGTCCATCCCTCCACACCCTTAATTAGCAAGAACAAAATCAGTTGTGGCCTTTTTATATCTTGACAAAATATCAAACCAGCCTTCATCACTCACAAGTCACAACAGAAAACGCCAAATCTACAGATACTATGGCACAATAATTGGTGCTCATGCGTAAAAGCACAGCAAAAGAAAGGGAGGATAGGAAGAGGTAGGAGTAGAAATCAACCTGACAATTACCATCACCTGACATTTTTAGTTCAACCAGGTCATATAACTGCAACCTGAAAAAGGACAAATTCTCCTGCTATTATATATGCCGCATTATGAGCCAACTACTTTGCATGATGACTCGCATATATTGCAACCTAACATTGGGACAGTAGCAATTAGGCAAGTAAAGAGTGAAAAATAAAGGTGCAGGCGGAATTGGACGAGCAACTTTTCTTCAGAAATTATAAGCACACACGGAAGCAAATGAATTGTTTCCCAGTACAGTAAGGTTCTTCTCGCTCACTTCTTTTTGCTTCCCTCTATAATAGGAAGCCACAATAACACTATTATCAGAAAGGAATAGCAATGAGAAGTTTCTTCAAGGAAAAAAAGGGAACAGTGCAAAGCTAATAGCCTCTTTGTTCACTGAAACATACAAAGAAGCAAAGAAACAAAAGCTTCCCCCAGATTTTAAACCTCAAAAATGGATTCCATACCATAGAGAACAGTTACAAATATTTGCCCCTTCCACTTGTACTAAAACAGAGCAAAAAATCACAGCAGCAAAAAAAAAGGTGAAAAATATCCACCAGTGAAAAAATTTGAGATGAGGAGACCAAGTCCTGCCAAATATAATTGACAACCTTGAGCAATTTAGGACAGGAATAGAGCAATAAGTTAAGTTAGAATACTCTTTTTCACTAGTGCAATGCTCACATGAACCAATAATTCTCTTAACCCTTCCTTAGGCAACTCATTTTACCAAGTCTTGTCAAATGCTTCCACATACAACAGCAGGTAACCAGAGGCAGTAATGGATTACACGTCTAGAAGTGCTAACAAGGAAAAGACAACCGTGCAAAACTAAAAGAACAAAGCAAACAGGTCAATGGGCATGAATATGACTTCAACGTTACAAGCAACAACCATTCATTCATTCCTTCACTCCACTTTACTTGCTGTTTCATCTCATCTTCCTATATATCATCCTCTTTTTCGATCTTTTTCCTCTTTTCGCCTACATTCCATACCCTTCGAAAATGTTGTCCTCCTGTTATTTTCTAAGCATCATGCAAGAACTGCTTTCTCTTCTTTTCTTGCCTTTCTATTTCAACAAATGAAGAAGGATGATTGCCACATCATACTCTGGAACAAATATAATAAAATGAACAGGGAAAATACATGAACACAACTAGAAACTCTATCATCAAATACCTCCTCCTTGTTCTTTTCATTTTATTTTTTGGTGAAAAAATAGAACAGGCCAGGGGCCAAGTAAACAACAACAATGTTCACTGGACAGTCAAACTATTATTGATCTTTCCTTTCCCTTTCTCATTTAACAGATGCAATGGCAGTGACAGACAGTGTTTGCATTCTCTCGATTTTTTTTCTCTACTTCTTCTTCATCAGCTAATGGAATACAAAAGTGCCACAGCTTTGCTGCTTTAGATGTATTTTCGATAACTTGGCTCTGCAGAAGCCTATGCTCTGCTGCTACTTTATCACTCTTTTACTCAGAACGACCTTCTTTGCCACTAAGATCACAGAAAAGTAATTTAATCATCTAGGACTGTACATTCAATACTCGTAGAACACTCCTAGTCAGATAAATCATCCATGACAGACAGTTGTGTTGCCTATCATTTGTGGATTGTTAAACGACTCAGCTACTTTTTCCATTCAAATATGTTTCAAAGAGGCATGCTCAATATAGGGTGCCACTAACCTAGTTCATCTGGTGGTAGGTGAGCAATGTCCCCAATCTTAACTGCCGAAAGTATTCCCTACCTTCTTGTCTTTGTAATTCACCTTCAACGACAGTTGGCCTCATTGAAACAATCTCCACCCTTCTTTATTCTTGTGCCTGCATATTTTGCAATTCTAAAATCCTATTGGCATGTAACCTAGCCACCACTATCAACTTCCTTCGATGAACCTCAACTGCCACCTTCAACTGTCTTCAAGAAAACCATCACTCACGGACCTGTGTATGTAACAATCTCCATCCATCTTGCAATCAGTCATGACCAGATATACGGAAGAGAGGAGGGGGAGGGGGCAGAGGAGTGAGTGTCGGTCTCTATGTGCGTGCACGAGAGAGAAAGAGAAAGAGACTGGGTGAGATGGTTATCAACATGGTCGTAAATGGTGGTAAATCTGAATGTGCTATGCAGTTTGCAGTGAAAATGGAGAAGTTAGAAGAAAATATAATCACTACATGGTATACCCAAGTCTTGAGAATAACATTGTTGATCAACCGAAATTGCTTGATTGTAGTCCAGTAGGCTCCAGTTCTCACAGCAGATTGTCATTAAAATTTAACATCTTTGTGTTTATAAGTACTATTGAACATTAACCCCACAACTCATGTGCATATTCTTTCGTTGCAGCTATGAATAGTTACATAGTTTTTTCAGCAAACTTCAAGACCATGGTCTTCTACCTCTTTTGTACTACTTTTATCCCATGCAGGTAGGCAAAAAATACCAGTTTAGTAATGAATACAAATTTGGAAGTTCTATATAAACAAATTAAGACAAATTTCTGAGTTGGTAAGATATTGAGGCTGAAAGATCAAAATCACAAACTTCCACCCTTTGATGTATAAACCCCATAGAATAAAGAAGCAAATGATGCGCACAAAAGCACAAAATTATGAACCCAACACAACAGCCCAGAGAAAGATATAATCAGCAATCATAGAGATTAGAAGTCAAATGGTAGGTAGTAGAAAATGTTAACCAAGACCTATCTAGCAGCCTTTGATGATCTGATGTTGCTTCATCAACTGAAGGTATTTCTCCATTAATTCGAGGAACATGCTGCACAAAACCAGAACAAATATAGAAGTGTCAATTCCAATTCAATTTGGAGATTCAAAATCACAGCCTCCTAACAAAGTAGAAAATCAAAATCTCTCTAACCAGATGGAATCTTTAATTGACGAATAAAAAGCATAGTAGGAGAGGTTGGATTCATGCTTTTTGCTACCAAATGCTGTCACCCTTAATTGTACAAGCAATGCCTACGACTAGATGAACATATCCATCAACAGTTGCAAAAACCTTCTATACCGTGTGAGGCTCTTGTTGCTATTTAGAAACTTGTCAAACGCACAGATTTGTGACGTTATAATGTGATAATCTATCACTATAGAATCTTATAGCAACTTAAGACAAGTTCAATGTCCCAACACATTGAAAAACAAAAACTCTGTAAATCTGGCAAGGTGGTCAAAAAAATAATTAATGTCCCAAGTTTTTCAGTTTGTAGGGGGGGAAAAACCACTTAATACAAAACACTTCCTAAAGGAGCGGGTATTTTTCCTTTTTCACTTTCTAATCTGCTCGTAGAGGAGAGTTTAAACCCAAATAATCATCATAAAATTACAAATTAAGAGTCTAAAAACCAAATAATCAATGCAAAATTATTAGATTTAGAAATGAGGACAGGCACAACATGTGAATATACCAGAATGACGTTTAACCTATCTTTGCTACCCTGTCCGAACAATCTGAATTAATGGGAAAGCAGTAAATATTAATCAACTTTTTAGCCATTACTCTCCCTATGTTCTGGATATGTATTGCACCGTACAGTGTAACAGATTACAAAATGTAATTTCTAATGTTTGGTGATAATGCACTATATAAACTATTGGAATCTCTGGTAACCTACTAGATGATAAATGTTGAAGTGAAGGTGGGCTTTAAGAAAAAAACGATGTGCATTCATAGCCAATATGACTCACATACGGAAGGTTAGCAGAGCACACACAGAAATATATATTGCAAGCATATGTGGTAGAACAGGCCTGATGTAGGAGTATTTGTCAAAACATCTTTTTGTCATTTCTTCTATTTACATAAAAAAAAAAAGAATTCAATGAAGAATACAGGAATAACAGACTAATTAAGGATAGAAAATAACAACAATGAAGAGATGACAAAAACAGCAAAAATGCCAATTATTATTTGACAATAAACTTCTCCTATATAGAGTCGATACCCCCTCAAACCCCTTTTCATTCACTTAAAGTAAGAGAGACCAAAACCAGAAGAAGTAAAACCAAAAGAATTCTCGATGATTACAAAACTCCAACACTTTCAAAACTTAGGCAAAGACAAATTCCCGAAGGTTTTTGGCCCTTCTTTTCTGCCAAGAGACCAGGTTCAAGGTGAGATAAGCAATGGGACACCAATAAATGGGGAAAAAACTGACTCAACAAATGATAATTTAAGTGTGTCTACCTGTTCAAATGCATATATGCTTCTGGCTGTGCCGACAGCCAAGTGTTTTTTGCACTAATCTACACGTGAGATGATGTGCTTGTATGCCATACTGCTATAAAGAATTAATCAAATTCAGAACATCCCATTTAAACTCAAAATAAAAAATGTTCCTATTCATAATGTTTCCAGTAGTTCAGAATTCAACTACATCAATAATGCAAAAATCTAGGATTGCATTGGTTATTTAACTTTAGTTTAAAATGAAAAGAAGGCAGTACATTTGACGTGAAAAGCATCGCTTGCACCTACAATCAAGAGATCTAGGTTCTCTCTTCAAGACGCAGCCACCTAATGAGCATCATGCTATTGACAAATGATTAATTGAAAGCATGACCAGAATCCTAGAGTCTACAACATGCAACTAGTAAAGCAACAGATAAACCTCATAATATAAAAAGAAATCTACTTTGATTCAAATGGCAACAATGCAACTTTAAAAGAAGCTGAACTTACAGGAACTGGAACCATCTGATTCAACCTCTTGCCCACTTCACCATCAATAGTACACTCATCTGCTATCTCTGGTGAACCCAAATGGTCTACCCCATCATCAGATTTTTCTCCTGGGCTAGGACATAAACCTTCCCCTCCCTCTTCCTGGCTGCTCTCATGTCCTGCTCATTGTGACAAATCAGGACAAATCAAAGAAACAAAAGAAATAACAAATTAATCAATGAATCAAAAGGAAACTAAGACGTTTCCCCATACCATAGACAGAATGTCCTTCCAAAAGGTCAGGCCAATCCTGAGCAAGGATGGATACTTGCTGATTTTCTTCCCCAGCAATTGAAGATCCAGATGCCTCTGCAGCAGCAATTCGTGATAGTTCTTCTTGAAAAGCATGTGCAATTATCTCATCATTGTCCACATTAGTGTGCTTTGCCTCGCAATAATCTTCTTTGACGTACTCAACTTGGGATAAGTCCTCGTCATAACAGGTAACAATGCCAGGAGAACCAGCATCAGTAAATGAGCAAATGTCTAGAAGGTGAAGACCCCACCGTACAACATCAGGATCTTGCTCATAGATAGTCATCTGCTTGCATCAGTATTTCACAGAATAATTTGTAATCAACCCTTCCTGGTCGAGTATCAACAGATAATAGCAAAACTCCTACTGAAATGTCACAGATAACCAGAAATTAATATGTCATTGCAGTAATTATCAAACAATGGATAACAAAGCAAGTGATATGTGGAATAAATCTAGTCAACATGGAAACGTGGGAGGAGAGAAAATTTTGAGAGATATATTTTATTAGAGATAATGACTCTGAATCGTGCCATTAGGCAGCTACTATACAAGGTTTCCATTTTTGTTAACTTCTCCTTCGACAAACTTTCTTTTCAAGTTCTAAAATGTGCTAATGATGGGAGTGATCCAAAGAAAACAACTGTCGTTTCACTTCTTATTTAACACAACAAGAGTCCAACTTGACTACAAAAGGACCTTTTTGTACAGCTCCATGCTCTCAATACCATCAGACCACTAGGATGGTGCTCTTTTTATAAAAAGTTTTCCTTTCAAAGGGAAATTTAAAGCAATAAAATATCTACATTGCCAGCACCATGGTCCCAAGCAATAGGGATCATAACAAGAAAAGGGAATTATCACATCACAATTTTTGTCATAAGATTTTTTCTTTTTTTTTGAACCAGCACTCCCCTGTAATGTAATACAGTAAATCAACAAAACCTTCTATTTTGTCACCCATAACAACCCATTAAATAAAAGAACATTTTATTTGGGCTCTTAAAAGTAGGCAACATTTTGCAGAGACCAACCAGGTGTTTAACGGCAATAGAAGACCAACTGGGTCCAGATTAAGAACTAAGCAGAGTGGAAATTTTTCTGGAGAAACAGTCTGGGGGTGTTTTCTGTTTTGATTGGGGGGGAATAAAACTTAAGCCTGAGTATAAGACTGTTCAGTGAATTCAAATTCAGCTGAAAACACCTAAAAATTTGTTATTCAACAGCTACATCAAGTACATTGCAGGGCCTCAGAATTCAGTATCTTAAATTTTGATTGGCTTAAAGGCAATTGGTATTGGGAAAGAAGCCAGATCGGAAGATCTTCACCAAGGCTTCTGCACAATCAGTATTCACCTCTAATACTCAAAAACTCATACAAATAAGTTGTGTAATTCCATCCTTTTGTATTTTTGTCAGAGAAAACCAACTAAATGACTCAATTACAGATTCCACAAGGAATTTAGACACTAATCCAGAAATAACTGATACTGTAAGCAGCCCCTCGAGAACGTTCTCCATTTTATCAAGTACCTTGAAGAGCAGCACAATTAGTTCAAAATCCGAAAGATAATTCAGATTTGGACTCCAAGAATCTCATAATGGATAAATTCCATCCCCCCACGGATATCATTATTGACGGCAAAGGAAAAAAATTCATAAGAAATTAGCCCTTCTGGGTCTTAAATCCTAATACTTTAATTTTATAAGATTTAATATCCTCCAAACACATGACAAAGCTCCAAAAGAATTATTCATTCCTCATTTCCACAATTGATTAATTCATTAGTCCCCTTCCAAATAACACTGCCAGCAAAGATAAAGTTCTCAGAAAACGGCATGAATAATTCTTTTGAAAACCTTGGTCCTTTAAGTGTTAACACTTGATGCTTTCAAATTTCAAATACATAATATCCCTTGGATGTAGCAAGAAAGTTCCAATGCATTCCGAACCCTCTATAAATCTGAGCCTACAATGAATTAGGAAACATTCAAAAACAATTGTCTCTTCAATAATTTATGCTCAAATAGACCAACTTTATGCAAGCAATGAACCTGAAAATCAATATTCCAACAACACTGCCAAGTCTGCCATTCAAACCTTCTTGAATCTATCTATGCATGAAACTACAGTTTTGATGATCTGAAGGGCAGTATTATGCCGAACATTCAACGAATAACTTTCTGCAAGACACAATAATGAACAGTAACGCATTCATTTAACTTTCCGAAAAACACAATCAGGAAAGGTAGCCCATTAACAAATACTCCAATACAGGCTTGCCATTTTTAGAATAAGCTAAAAGTGATTCAAACAAGGACCAGTTTGGAACAGTCCCTCTGAAATGAATTCTTGCCAATTGTTATTACAACAATGTCCTCAAGATGAACTCAAATCCTATATCCACATATTGAACAACGAAATCATACTGGGAAGGGTCACCAGCCAATGGGACTCCCAACCTTCTTGGTGACAATATTCTATCCTATTACTTTCTCTCACTTCTAACTCTCTCTCTCTTAATTTCTCTCCTTAAATTCAATTTTTTCCACAAAATATGTCAAATAAAAAAATGCAATCCCATTCCAAAATCTTCTTTGTAAGGAAACCTAGCACATAACTGAAACTTGAAATGTGCTGCTCTATCCACACTAAATAGAAGTTTATAGAAAGCAGGAAAGAAGAATAGCATAGGGTTTAAGCCCTTCCTTTTCTCAAGTTTGGGCAATAACACCAATTGGACTAGTTGTTCTACTGAATTTTCAAGAAACTTTCCAATCCAATCTCAACTTCTACATATCAAACAAGGCTTTGAGCGTTCTTCATCTACAAAATCAAATGTTCATTCCCAACATAACCATCAAGAAATTTATTGAAATTCCAAAGACACAGAAAAAATCGTTTTGGAAATTAAAAAATCTAGCAACCCACCTTGCCACGGCCAAATTTTCGACTTAATTCTCAGAAAACTTCCCAATCCGATCTGAACTTCTACATATCCATTCAAGTTGAGGATTAATACCCATGTAGGAAAACTCCTAAAATCCGCTAAAACCTAAAATCTTCCAAAGAAAAAAACTTCACTTTCCGAGTATCATTATAAAAATTCAAAAAACTAATCAAACAGGGCAATAATCATTCTTCATCGAGAAAACCAAACAATCATTTCAAACTTAAGTAATAAGAAATCTAATAAAATTCCAAAAACACATACAAAATATTTTCGGAAATCACAAAATCTAGCCACCCAATTTCCCACCGCAAAATTTACACCGTTCGCTCCAACAACTACCCCAAATCAACAAAACAATAACCGGAAAAACTATACCTACCATTCACACACATAAAAAAGAAGCACATGCAAAGACATATATATACATATAGTAAATATGTACGAATTGGTTTCTACACATACTGCGAATTTTTCGAAATTTGCTTACTAACCTTCGAATTTCAAGAACAAACACAAACGTGTAGAGAACCCGAAATCTTCAGAGTTGAAAAACCTTAAGGCACAATCCAAGTATCAAACGGTAAACCATTAGTGGTACGTCACCGTTTTGAATAGTCACGGGCCACCAGTTAAACGTCGAACAACTTTTTGAATTAGAACCGTAACGGAGGGCCTTTGGCTAAAAAGTTTGCAGTAATTGCCGTCAATTTAAGCGTGATTTTCTTGAAATTGTGTTATGTGGACCCCAGTTTTCTTGTAGATTCCGAAACCGACTTTGCCTCACGCCACGTGGCAGCGATCGGCGGCGGATCAGACTTATATTTACCACGTGTCAGTTGAAAGGTTGGTTGCACATACCTTTTGTGTAATCTTTTGTCTTGGATTTTCTCTCTTTCCATTATTTCTGCCGGGAAATGTTCCAACCTTATCTTTGGTATCATCTAAATTCTAAATGTCATAATTAGTAAAACCTTTATTGTCCAATAAATGGAAGATTGCATATTTATTGCTTTTTTTTTTTAGTAAAATAATTTGAGATATGAAAATAAAAAATAAATAAATCTAAGTAGTTAAATGTGATTAGATAACAAATTTAGGCAATTAAATATTATTATTAAAGAGTGTACGACCAATGGTAAATCATGGGAGAGTGAGATGTTAATTATAAATTTATATACTATTAATTAAAGGAGAAGAGAGGGGTTTGGTGTCTTCATTGTGAAAAATTTATAGAAAATAATGTTAGATTGATAAAAAAAAATTAAAAATATGGATAAAATGATAGGACATTATCGTAATAAAAAATTTTAAATTTTGAATGTATAAAAGTGGAATAAATAATATCATTTTAATAATGTCACAACATTTTGTCTTTATTTTTTATTCCTTTTTTTGGTTAATCTACCGATAATTATATCTATATCAATCCTTAACCACTAATAACCATTTATAACTTTCCATCTTTATTATTTTTTTCGCATTATTACAACTATCGCCTACTATATCTTTTTTTTTTCTAATCAAATGAACGAATGTAACTGCCCCTAGTTAATTATTCATAACCTATTAATTAAGGATGAGACTATTCCCACCCCCACAAATATTCATTCTCACGTCATTAAAATTTTTATTATCAAACTAATAAGTCCACCTCATTTCAACTAAGTTCACCCATTGCTATCCACTCCCTTTCAATAACAAGTTTTTTTTTTTTTTATCAAACCTTTAATAACAAGTTCGCATTCTATCTTCTCATAATTAGGGTTTTATTCACTATTTCATGTCATATACCCTACACGAAAGAGTGCTTCAATAAGAATTTTTTTAGTAAAATGCATGTTAGTATTACTTTTCAGTTTAATTTTTTGTTTGATTTCATTTTTTGTTTGATTTCATGTATAATGTGTGATTTCATATTTGATTTTGTTGAGCTTAATTATTTTTGATTTAGGGTTTTTATACATGTGTGTGTGTGTATCTATATATATATATATACACACATTTGCAACAAGACGGAAAAATGAAGTATTGTAAATTTTTCTTTACCCACACTATAACAACATAAGTTGTTGCCCCTCATGTTAATCTAACGGAGATTGTTTTGACAAAATCTAGAATAGGCTTGGATAATGTACAGATACATAAAGTGATGTACTTATCTTACCTATGAATCTATATTGAAAAAATGATTTTGTGTAGGACGTATGAGAGGAGATAGTAAATAAAAATTCTAGTTATAAAAAGACAGAATGTGATACTGTTATTAAAAGAGTGTGCTATATATGGGGTGAACGTAGCCCAATTGATGTGAATATTGAAGGAATAGACTTAATAATTTGACGATAAAAAATTTAATAAAGTAGGAATTAATATTTGTGGCGGCAGAAATAGCCCCACCCATTAATTAACTAGG